ATGGAGAGGTGGGCGTGGCTCACCCCACTCCTACATCTCAGGCACGGAGTTGTGGCCCCTGGTTTGAATTCCAGCCTGTCCAGTGACCGCCTAGGTGAGATCACTCAATCCTCTAGGCCTCAGTTTCCTCCTCTGTAAAATGGAAGGACAGAGTTAGTATCTGGTGTCTAGCCTGATACCAGGCATGCCTGGACAACAGGGCTAGCCTGTTGTTATTGCTACTTTTAAGATCCAGGGTTGTGGTCACTCTAACACAGAGATATCTCCTTCTAGGGTCAGGATGCCCTGGATTTCCCCCACTTCCTCGGGCTTGCCCTTTATTCGGCCCCAGACATATCCATCAGCCCAGGTCTTGTACTGCAGTGCGCAAGTGTGTGCAGGTGTGGGGACTATGGGCACAGAAGACTGAGGCTTCTGGCCGCCAAGACTCACCCTGAGGACCCCATCGGGCCTTTGTTCTCTAGTGAAACTTCCTCTTCTGTCACCTCCTCCTCAGGGCAAAGGTCAATTTCTAGGCAGCCAGGGCAGGGCTGGGGCTGGTATGGGATGAGCAACAGGTGTGGCTTCCAAGGGCAAGGTGGGGGGTGGGGGGTGGGACCAGGGCTCCAGCTCTGGAGTCACACTGGGTGGGGGCGGGGTGTTGCACTGGGGTGGCTGGGGGAGGAAGGAAGACCAGCTGTCCCTGGGCCAGTCCTGGGAGGATCTTTATCAAGCCAGCCACTGCAAGGTCTCATCCAGGAAGCTCCAGATATGTCCAGATGGCACACACAGATCTGTCTGGGATCACTGCCCTCAGGCCTGGCCAAGGCTGAGGGCCAGAGGCAAGGCTAGCAGGTCATAGAGCTCTCGTGCCTTCCTAGGGGCCCTTCTCTTTGAGGAATACACACAGACCCACAGACCAATTAAGTCCCCAGCCAGGACCGCCCCAAAGTCCTCCCTCCTTAAATGCTCCGAAGTTGGAACTGGAGCTCCACTAAATACTTGCTGTGTGACTTTTGGCAAATCTGGTGCCTCTCTGGGCCTCATCGGTAAAATGGAGGACATCATCACCGAGACTGTGGCTATGGGTCTAGCGGCATTCCCAGAGGGTGAAGTCCTGCAGAACTCTAACCAGGAGAGGCAGCCAACCACAGATTCAGACCCACTGAGGCAGTGTAGTGATGGGGCATCAGGTCATCTTGGCACCTGGAGAAAGTAGGTCCTTGTGGTTTGACTCATTTTGCTCATGCCCTCACTAAACAGATGCAGAAACTGGGGCAGCGCCTGTGGGATTCAGAGTCACAAAATTTGAAAGTTGTTAAGAGAGTAGATCCTAAGAGTTCTCTCAAGGAAAAAATATTTTTTTCTTTTATTTGTATCTGTAGGAAATGATGGATGTTAATAAACTTAGCATGGTAATCATCTCACAATGTATGTATTCATAAGTCATTCTATCATACATTTGAAATGTATACAGGGCATGCATGCTCAGTCGTGTCCGACTCTTTGCAACCCCATGGACTGTAGCCCACCAGGCTCCTCTGTCCACGGAATTTCCCAGGTTGGAGAAATCCCATGGACAGAGGTTGGGTTGCCTGGAGTGGGTTGCCATTTCCTACTCCAGGGGATCTTCCAGACCCAGGGATCGAACCTGCGTCTCCTGCATTAGCAGGCAGATTCTTTACCACTGAGCCACCTGGGAAGCCCTAAACTTATACAGTGCTATATGTCAATTATATCTCAATAAACTGTAAAGAAAACAAACAAAAAGGTTGTAAAGACCCAGGTTCGATTCCTGGCACTACCATTTACTAGCTTTCACACACTATGTTTATTACTAGGCTGCCTTTGGGCAAATTAGGAAGAATCTCTGGGTCTCAGTGTCCTCATCTGGGGAAGGAGGGTCACCAGGATCTAATGGGACAAGATAAGGAACATACATGCAAAGGCTTACCTCGCCTCTCTGAGGGGCAGCATACTCCAGTGGGTCGCCAACGTGGCTGCACATCAGAATCACCTGTGGAGCTTTCGAAATACCATTCCATTCTCAGGAAGGGAGTTTAAAAAGCTCCTCAGGTGATTCTTTTATGCAGTCAGGCTTGAGATCCACTCACTGGTCTGTGGTTTTACTCAGTGCAGCCAGCAGCACTGACATCACTCGGGCGCTTCTTAGATATGCAGAATCCCAGGCCCCACCCCAGACCTGCTGTATCAGAATTTTCAAGTTAATGAACTCCTCAGATGGTTCAGTGCACAGCTCTTCAGGGCTGACAGTGCTGTGGTTTATTTCAGGACATTTGCTGCAAGTTTCTTGGAGTTTTGAACTTGGACAGGGTTAAAGGGGAAAGAAGAAGGGAAAACAAGCAGCAAATGAAGAGTGTCTCTGAGCTCTGGGTTCTGCTTGGTGTACAACCCGCCTGGCCTGGAGCTTTTGATCCACGCTGTTCCTTCCTCAGCTGTGACCTCCATGGTCAAGGGCTCCTCAGGCTTTGAGGAATTCATCCTCCAGTCTTAGACAAGAGGAGAAGGCAGTACAAACCCTCTCAGTGTGAAGGTGCACCATGATGGTCTTGGCGTCATTTCCCAGAAGGGAAAGACTGAATTGGGGTTCCAGGTTTCCAGCTAAACTTCTTGAATCTTCTACCTGCCCACCCCCTCCCCCATGACCCAGCTGCTGGCCCCACTCCATGCCAGGGTACCCTGATCCTGGCCCCACCCAGACTGCTTGTATTGACTGACTAATGCTGACTCCAGGCAAGTATTCTTGGGTGCTTGGCACTTTGGCCAGAGGACTTTCTCCTCCCACTTGCCGGAGGACCAAAGACAACATGGAGGATGGCAAAGGTCAAGGACTGAGCCATCCAGGTGAATCACAAGCTGGCTGGGACATCTCAGGTTCCCAAGCCATGTGGGAACAGCCTCCAGCATCACCACCTACCTTCTGGATACAGCGGTGAAGCGGTCTCAGGACTTGCCAGTGGGCCAGCCTGCCCTCCAGTGGGGCTCCGTGGTAACTGCACCCTCCCTGCTCCACTTTTCACAAGGGACTGCAGCTCTGGATGAAGGCTCCCCCGATATCAATTTGTTCAACTTATAGGTAGGTGATGGACAAGCGGTGCTCTCCACCTGCCATTTCAGACACCTCTCCACTTCATATGACATTCAGCCCTAAAAGGGGTATGTAATGAATACCTGATACCTTCTTTATCCTAGGGACTCTGTGTACTTGCTCCCTGACCCCTCCAAAAGTCCTGGGAGGCCAGGGGTGTTACTCACATGTAAAGGATCAGTTCCTGGCCTTGAGGGCTGGCAGCAAGGGGTCACATTCCATTCCATGCCCATCTGACTTCCAAGGCCATATTCTTAATGTAGCACCTGCCCGTGGAAACCTTTTAGCCAGGAGTTCCCAGGCTCTTACAAGGGCCAGGCAAGTAGCAAGAGAGAGGGGAGCGCTGGGGATGCTGACAATCTGAGGGATGTGCGCTACATATAAAGGACACGCTCAGATGTCCCCAGCAAATTACTCTTGAGTAGGAATGCTGGACTAGCACCTAAGAGAAGCTGAAAGGTGAATTTGGGGTAAAATTTCCCAATTTAAAATATTGACAATTAAATCAGAGAAGAGTGTAGATATATCACAAGCCAAACAAAGACTGTTTTTAACACTATGAGCTTTTACAATAGCCTCATGGTATAGGTAAGCTCGGGCTTCCCTGGTAGCTCAGATGGTAAAGAATCTGCCTGCAATGTAGGAGACTGGGGTTCGATCTCTGGGTCAGGAAGATCTGCTGGAGAAGGAAATGGCAACCCACTCCAGTATTCTTGCCTGGAGAATTCCATGGACAGAGGAACCTGGCAGGCTACAATCCATGGGGTTGCAAAGAGTCGGACATGACAGGTAAGCTCCGGAGAGAAGAGGTGACTTACCCGTGATCACGTGACCACGACAGGGGCTGGACTTGACCCCAGGCCAGTGCTCATCTCAGCATGTTTCTCTGTGTTCTGCCCTGCTCTCCAGGCCCCAGGGTGGGGTGTGAACCATTTCTGACTTTGGTCAGGTGGTAGAACACATCAGACTAGAGGCTGGAAGATCACCCACATTTATTGGTCAAACTAGGGTTACAGTGTAGCAGGACCACCCTTGGCCCCTCTTGGAAGTAATGAGGACATGGTGTAACATGTAGCCCCTTGGCGCTTGATCAGATTGTGCTGAGGTAGTGGCTGGATCTAGTGATCTTGCTGGATCCAGTGATCTTTCTTGACTGTCTTGACAGTCTCCGCCCCCTGCACCCTTAGGCCTAGCTTCGTCCCTTACACCACACAGACGGGGCCCATTCAAGTTCATGCTGGCTCGACCTAGAGTTGGGCCCAAAGACCTTGGAAATTAAGGGAGAGGAGGTGATCCAGTTTACAGATGGGAAAACTGAGGCTTGAGGCAGGAAGACACTCATTGAGAAGCCTCATGGCTAAATCCCTGGCTTGTTAGTGCTTGGACACTCTCCCCAGCCCATTCTGGGCAGAAGATGTTCCCTGGTTTAGCTGCTCTGGAAATGCAATTTATAAATACAGATTTGGTTTCAAAAAGTAATAAATTAGATCTTGGACCAGCCTGAGGGAATATGGCCAGTCACATGGCACAAGACCTGGACATCTGTCACATCTCATATATGCACCACCCATCACATGTAGTGTCAGGACCCATGCCATTGACCCACAGGCCACACTGCAGGTATTGTGCAATGTCACGTGGAATGTTCCCACATGTGACCTTCCACATCACACACTGCACCATGACATGCTCATTGTGCTTCATGTTCCCGACTGGCCATGCATGTTCCATGGGATGTAGGGTAGTCATACTCTCTCTTTGTCACCAAAAATGTCCTCCCTGAAGACTGCTACAGGAAAAGCGTGTTTCTCCCTCTTGATCCAGGGACAACCAGCTTTTTTCATGAGCCCTCTATCCTCGTGGATGGAAATTGGCATCACTCGGCTGGATTCAAACGCACTTGAGGGCACCATCAGGTACCCCGGGGGATGACCTGTGGCTGGTTGTCGAAGAAAGCAAAATCCAGCCTGGGCTCCTGGTTCTGCAGATGCTGGGCCATGTCCGGGGGAATGGGGTTATTCCAGAGGCTGCACGGCACAGAGACAGACACTTAGCACTGGGGGCTGCTCACTTACCCTCTTGTCTCTGCTTTCTGTCCTGCCTACAGATGGGGAAACTGAGGCCCCAAAGGGGAAGAGCTGCTCTGAGAGTTAGCTGGCAGGCAAGAGCAGGTGGAAGGCCAGCATGGCTGCCTTCAGGAGATGGTATCCCCCATGCTCACCCCGACTTCTTCCACTCCCATCTTTTTTTTTGGCTGCACAGCATGCAGGATCTTAGTTCCTGGACCAGGGATTGAACCTGTGCCCCTCGAAGTGGAAGCATGGAGCTGTAACTACTGGACTACCAAGGAAGTCCCCTCCACTTTCTTCCCCAGAAGCTAGCCTCTTCCCCAGAGCCATGCTCATATGACACATTGTATAAATGAGAAAAAAGCTCCCCTTCTTTATGACACCACTTCCATTGTCTGAAACTGTTGTAATATATTGAATTTTATAGAGAGAGACACTTCAGTACCACTAGAAATGTAATACTACTATTATGTGAATGATGTCCCTTAGATGCTGTGCCCTGGTGCAGTATACAACCTATACAACTGGCCCTAATTACAGCTACCATTTTAAGTGCTTACTATGTGCCTGACATTGTGCTCGGGGCTTTATCTAATCATTTAGTCTGCAGAGCAGCTCTCTGAGGTAGATACTATCACTATTGCCATTTTACAAATGAGGAAACTGAGATTCAAAGAGGTTGAGTTATTGATGTGAAATTGCACAGCTGGTAACTGACAGAGCTGGGGTTTGATCCAGGTCTGTTTGCTGCCAAATCCCTGATGAGTGGGTCCAAGTCTCCTTTGATGATCCCCAACCCAGGTCCTGCCTCCTCCTACAGGAAGTCCTCTTACATTGAAGGGCTGGTGTGCTCACCCCACCCCCACCATCCCTGCCCCAACAAGCCCTGTTACCGAATGACTTGGATGCCAGATCCCTGAGCCAGCCCTTCAGCCAGGAGCCAGGCTCCATAAGCTGTGATCCGATTCTTCTCCAGGCTTCCGGATGGACAACAAAGGGAAAGAGATTGACATGAGATGGGGAGGGGGTGGCCTAGGGAGCTTCCTTATGTCTCTTCCCCAGGACAAGGCTGGGGGACAGAGGCTCCCCACACATCTACTTAGAGAACTCAACATTCAACAGTCCAGTGGGAAGGCTGAAGACTGGGACCCAGGAGAGCTAATGGACGAAGTGGGGGGAAGTCCAGGAGGGCTTCCTGGAGGCAAGGGCCTGACCCAGTGGCCTCCTGGCTTTCCCCAGGACACAGGGCCCCGTTTGGTCCTCCCACTCCCTTCTGGCTTCCCCAGATGTGCCCATCATACTCCACTCTCTTCAGCCGGCCCATCTGTGGCAGGACCCGGGCCAGCTCAGCAGCTGCCTCATCCCCGAGCAGATTCCAGGACAGCCTGCAGGGTAGGGAGGGGGCCCAAAGTCAGCGGCAGGAGAGCAGTGAGGGAGGAGACAAGGTGGCAGGTGGGGAGGGCGGGGGGTGCTGTGCCTGATGGGGACCTGTGTGCCTTCTCTGAAGACTTTACTGGGCACAGCAGGCTCCTCCCTACTCCCACCCCATTCCCGAGCTGGTCATCCCACGGGAACCCAGACAGCTTAGAAGCTGGCTGTCCTGAGGGTTCAGGACACGTGACTGTGGAAACAACAGGATCTGAACTTCCACCATGCACATGCCTCCCTCCTGACTTTGCCACACCCATGCACCACCACCGGTATTATTGTTTCACATTTTTCTTTAAATCAGTCCTCTATCCCCTCTTTTATTCACTTTGAGAAATTCATCTTCAGAAACATTTATCACTATTATGAATGAGAAGCCTGTGCTGGGGACCCTAAATAGAAAGTAGTTACAAGGCTAATCTAAACAGGGCAAACAATGGCATTCACTCGGATCTGGAACCTGTGTCCTTCCTAAAGTGCTGACCTCGTGGTCTGCCCCCTGCTGGCTAAAAAGGGACAATCAGCCATGTTGGGTGAGTTAGCACTGATCCCAGACTTTCTCTTTGTTGTATAAAGTAATGAGAAGAATTAAAATCTTTAGGATGCAAACCTAAAATCTTATAAAATCATATGTATCCTGTACTTAAGGAGACTGCATTTTCTTCTGCCCTGCTCAGGGGTCCAGGTTGGTCCTGGCAGTCTAGTTTATCCCTGTGGCAATATTGCCAGGCCCCAGGGTCCAAGCACCTCTGATTTCCAAGGGAGAGGTAGACACAGTCGGGGGAAGGTTGGGGGCTGCTGGTTTCAGCCACTCTTCACTACCAACAGGTGGTTTGAAAATCAAGGCTCCATCAACCAGGTGGGGTGCTCCATCCAGACGCCTCCCAAAGGGAGAGTCAGGGGCAATGGTCCTGACCATCTAGCTCATCTCCTTCTGGTCCACCTCCCCTCCTGCCCTCCACAGCTAGGGAAACAGGGAAAGAGGCTGCATGGCTTAGAGCAGGGATCCCCAGCCTTCAGGATCTAATGCCTGAGGATATGAGGTGGAGCTGATGTCATAATAGAAATAAAGTGTACAATACATGTAATGTGCTTCAATCATCCTGAAACCATCTCCCGCCAACCCCCACAGTCCATGGAAAACTTGTCTTCCACAAAATTGGTCCCTGGTGCCAAAAAGGTTGGGGACCTTTGTCGGCTTAGACCAACAACACTTGCAGCTCAAGTGTTAAAACTTCTTCAAGAGGAGGTTTGAGCAAGAACGACCTTCCCCATGTAAAATCGGAAGGCCTCCAGGGAGGAAGGAACCAGACCCCCAGGTGGCTGCTCTCCCCAGCTCCAGGCTAGCCCCCCAAGCACTCACGTGATTTCTTCCAGGGCCGGACAGAGCACGAAGCTGGCGGTGAGGGGCTTGGCGGTCTGGTTGTCAATCTCACACGACACCAGGCTGGAGAGAAGAAGGGGATGGGATGAAGGTGTCTGAGTCAGGGGTGCTCCAGCCTGCAATCAGAGCAGGAGGGAGCAGAGTGGCTAGGGGCTGGGAGTCTTAAGAAAGTGCCCCCCTTTTTTGTCTCAGGTTCCCCTTATACTTGAGGCCTCTGTCACTTCGAAAGCCTTCCCAGGTGTCAAGCTCAGCCAAAGAAGGGCTGCCTGCCACAGCACCCCAACTGGTCAGAGCAGGCTACTTACTCAAGCTGCCGGAGCAGTGGGAGCCCCTGATGGAAACGCGGGACCCCTCCGGTCAGGCTGTTCTCTGCCAAGCTGCAGGGCAGGGGAGACAGCCGTGAGAGGAAGCCCCAGAGCCTCCCCGGCCTGTCCCCCTGCCCGGGTTCCAGGGCCCCTACTCACCTGATCTCTTCCACGTGTGGGCATCCATCCAGGGCCTGGCCCAGGCTCAGCACCCCCTCTGGGCTCAGATGGCTGGATGGCAGGCTGGGGAAAGGGAAGGGGTGAGGGCAGCCTGGAGGAGCAGGTATAGATATTTGGGCGGCTAGATGCCCCCAGCCTCAGCCTGTCTCAGACTGCACTGGCAGACCTTAGACCCTCTCTGGGTAACTGCCGCCCCAAACCCCCTCCCCACACACAGAACATGGGTGGGTATCAAGGGGCCCTGGCTTTGGGATCTGAGATCCCAAGTTCAAGGCCTGGCTCCTCCATGTATGAATAGGGTAATAGGGTAAGCTTTCCATACTTCTCTTGGCTTTAGTTCCCTTGCCTGGAAAATGGAGCCGGTAGAAATCATGGCCTCACAGGGCTCAGATGAGACCCTGGACAGAAACTGTAAAGTGCCGAGGCCATGTTGCGGGGTGCTTTTCTCCGGCAGAGCCCTTTGCTGGCACTTCCCACTTGACCCTCTGAGACTGGCTCACAGGTACAGCAAGCTGGGATCCTTGTACTTCTTTAGGAAGGCATCTGAGGCTCAGAAAGGGCAGGGGCCTGGCCAAGGGGTGGTGGCCGAGCCTGGACTAGGCTGGGTCCCCTGATTTCCCTGCCCCAGAGGTAGGGCAGCCAGCCCCAGGACACATCCCGCTTTCCTCTACGGCAGGGCCGTTCAGCGATGGGGCCTTGATCCTCTAGTGCTCCTGGCGGGGAGGGGGGGCAGCGGGGAGGGGGAGCGCTTCCTGCTAACCCCTGCACACACCACAGACAGGGGCCACTCACTGCAGGACCCTCAGGTGCCGGGGGAGCCCGTTGGCCAGACCCAGGGCTGTGCAGTCTCCCAGGGCATTGAAGCCAAGCCTGGAAGAGGAGAGGGGGTGGAATTGAGCACCAGGCTGGCCGGCTCCAGACCCCTACCCTGTGCCTAGTGGGGGACACAGCGCCAGGTGGGCCACGAGGACACAGAGAGAAGAGGGCAGCCCACCCGGGCAGACACTCACATCAGCTCCTCGAGGTGCGTGCAAAGGGTGAGAGAGTCTGCCAACCGCGCTCCCCCTGCTGGGCCGATGCCATTCGCTGTGAGGCTGAAGAGGAGCGGATGTCAGACTCTCGACTCCCTCATCCCTCACCCCACCACATCCGCTGGGCCCCCACCCCCACCCACAGCACCCCCACCACCCACTGATGAGGCAGAGAAACCCAGGGAGGAGCAGGGGCTGGGCTGGCTCAAGGTCCCCAAATCAGCAGTGCCAGGAGGTACCCAGTCCCACTGTCTGAACACCAGGGTTAGAGGAGGTAGCCACAGTCTCCCCAGACCATAGCGTGGCTGCCAAGGGCCCCTGTCGGGAGGGTTGGCCACTCACTCTATCTTCCTGAGCTCAGGGAGCCCCGGCAGGACAGCAGCTAAGTCCTGGGCACCGGTGTCTCCGATTTGGTTGTGGCTCAAGCTTGGGGAGAGAACAGCAGGAGAACCAGAAATATCAGCCCTCCACCCATCTTGTCTCCATCCCAGAAGAGGAGGCTGGAGTCTAGAGAAAGGCCTCAACCACACTAGTAAGTCCCCTCACCCTATGTGTGAGGATTCCAAACTCTTGTCTTCTGTTTAGGATGATCCCCCTGCTGTCTGACCTAAATCCTTCTCACTGCAATCAATATCCTCACATCCTATCTTTGGGTCTCCTAAGATGCTGGGTCTGGGGTTATGCAGTATAGAAGTGGGTGAAGGGGACGAGACTTAAGAAGTGAAGCATGTCCTCAAGGAGCCGCTTGCTTTTGTTGTCTTGGGTCTGCCAAAGTTGTCTTGGGTTTGGGGGAGGGACAGGCAACTCACCCCAGCTCCTCCAAGCTGGTGGCAGCTCTGAGAGCCTTTGAAAGGTGGCAGCAGCCGACGTCATCGATGTTGCTCCTGCTCAGACTGGAGAAGCACGGCCAAGAGGCCTTAGTCAGGAGGCATTTGCTAAGTGCTGTACTAAGCACTCTACAGTTTGCAAAGCCTTTATACATTCAGGAACTCATATACCAGTCACAAAACTTTCAGGGGATGAGACTGGGCAAGGTGGGCAGACTGTATCCAATATCCAGATGAGAAATCAGAGGCCCCGGGAGGAGCTGTGGTGGGCCAAAGACTCCCAGGGACTCGCAGGCAAGGAGGAAATGGAAGCCCAGAGCTGTTGGCCTGGAACAGTAGCCTCATTTTTTGGTTTGGCCAGGCCAAGCGGGGGATCCTCAGGCCAGCCCGGCTGAATGTCAGTTTCACATGTCTCTCACAACTCACCCTGTTCTAATCTATACAAATAGTGGGCTTTTCCTTAAACCCAATTTATGGTCTTTTCTGCACTTGGCCACACGCTGCCCCTGTTGAGTAGCAGGGGATGGGGGTGGAGGGTGGGGGAGGGAAGGTGGGGGTGGGAGGTACAGTGGGGAACCAAAGGAAACAGCTGACGCAAAGTATTAGTATGAGGGTTGTTTTGTTGTCTTTTGTTTTGCAAATTTTTAGGGAACCTCCTTTAGGTGAATTAATTTAGGGTGAAATGACCTAGTCCTCCAAACTCTCTGAGCTCATATCCTATGTGCTCTACCCTGCCTTGGGTTTGTTTAGAGTCACAATATTTCCTGTTTTGAAAGACTACACAAAAAGAATATGGGCTATTTGTTTATCAAAGCTGCCAGGGGCACAAGGGTAGAATACCAAGGTCATCAGCTCTGAGGCTAGACTGTCATTACTCAAAGTGGGGTCTGTGGCCCCCCAAACGGGCGTCCCCTGGGAGCTTGAAATGCAGAATCTAGGCAACCCACATCATGAATCAGAAACAAGAACAAGAACACAGGATGAATTTGTGCACACGGAGGGCTGTCCTAGGACTTGGGCCCAGCCCCTTCTGGCCATCTCCTAGGAGGAAGCGGCATGTGCTCAGTCGCTCACTTGTGTCCAACTCTTTGCAACCCCATGGACCTGTCGCCCACCAGGATCCACTCTCCATGGGATTCTCCAGGTGAGAGTACTGGAGTGGGTTGCCATTTCCTCCTCCAGGGGAACTTCCCGGCCCAGGGACCAAACCCACGTCTCCTGCGCTGCAGGCGGATTCTTTACCCACTGAGCCACCAGAGTAGTGAAGGGCTGTGACGCTGGCCTGGGAGGGTACAGGACGTCCCGACGATGGCAGCCGTGGAACTTCTCAGGAAGGTGCCCCAGGGCTTCCCTGGGCCAGTGGTCCCAGCAAAGCTGGGAAGTTTGCCCCCCACTCACTCCCATGGGGTCACTCACCGGAGGCTCTGCAGGACTGTCATGTGGCCTAGTCCTTGAGTGAGCACAGCCAGGGTGGAGCCGCCCAGTGGGAGGTGGCTGAGGCTGGAGGAGAGGAGGCCACAGGAGGACTTAGCATGGCTGGGCTTGGGTCCCCAACATGGACCCCGAGTGCTCGGCAATGACCAGTGATCTCCAAGACAGCCACAGACAAAACTGCACTGGGAAATTCAAATTCTCTGTACAATTAAGGACATCCAGGCAGCAATTCTATGCTCTGAATCACATTGGACCCAGACTACTGATTGGTAATCATAGCGACCACTTATCGAGCACATACTAAGGGCCATGTAGAGATGACGTGATACACAATCATCTCCATTTTACAGATGAGGAACACTGCCTGAGGATGAAGTCACGTTGGGGAGAGAGAGAAAGAAAGAAAAAGAGGAACAAATACAGAACCTGGATCCAGCCAAGCCTGAAGTCAGGTGCCTTGTCATTTTCCATGACATGAGTTAATATAGTTCTGGGTTGGGTTGCTTTGAGTGTTCTGTTTCTTATGAGCACGTACTTTAGTTAACACTCAAGAGCCAGGTAAGGAAGTATAAAGGGAGGGTGTTCAGCTCACCTGGGTGCATTGAGGACAGTGACAGTCATGTTCACAAGAGATACAACATTTTGAGGCATGCTCCCAACACCCCGCCCCCACCCCCATTAACCACCGCCACTTACTCAAGCCTCTTCAGCCTGCACTTGCCCTCAAGGGCCCCCAACAACATCTTGGTGCCCTCCTCACCAAGTTGATTGTTAGACAAGCTGGAGGGGACCAAGCATGAGATAAGGGTTAGAAAAGCCTGCCCAGCCCCTGGAGCTGAGCTGTCTCATCAGCGCCCCTCACCCTCTGAGTCACCCCTAGGAGACTAGCTCTGGGTCTGCAGGTCCCAGACCACGCCTCCTATCCAGGCTCCATGGGGGCATTCCTGGCCCCAAGGGTCAGGCTCACGGGTCCCCAAGGAGGGGGACATTGCAGTCATAGCTGACCCAGCTGAGAAAGGACGCCCTGGATGATGGCTGTACCAGAGGAAGCCAGGGACAAGGGACACGGACACACACACATGCAGTGACCCCTTCCGCCCCTTAGCTCTCTCTGTACCCAATACCACTCTAGACAGAGAGGGTGCTGAGCCCCAGTTTACAGATGAGGCTGTAGGTCTACTCTAGTCTAAGTCTGAGTGTTGTAGAGTTGCTCAGTCGTGTCTCTTTGCGACCCCATGGATTGTAGCCCACCAGGCTCCTCTGTCCATGGAATTTTTCAGGCAAGAACACTGGAGTGGGTTGCCATTTCCTTCTCCAGGCTAAGTCTAGTCCAAGTCTAAAGAGGCATAGTTACTCCCTCAAGGTCACTCTGATAAAAGTGATAAAAGTCAGGACCAAGAACCCAGCGCTCAGCCTTCCCTAAACCACACTCAGAGTTGCTGGGCTTCATCAGGGAGAAAAGTAATAGTCTGAAGTCCCACCACCCACTTTAGCAAAGGCCCAACTGTCCTCTCCACCCTCAGCTGGGTTCCCAGACCCTTCCAATCCGTGACTCACTCCAGCTCCTCCAGAAGGTGACAATGGCTCAGACCAGATGTCAGGTGGGCTAGCCCCTTGGAGCTCACACGACTGGAGGTCAGCCTGGTGGAGGTCAAAAGGCAGCAGTTCAGCGAGGAGCTCTGAGTCTGGGAGCTCTGGATGGTAGCAGCAGGGGCAGGGAGGTGGGGGTGGGGAGTGGTTCCTGGGGCAGTGGGAGGGGACCCATCTTCCCTCCATGAACCTCTCCCATCAGGCAATTATTAAGTCAAGTTACAGGTTGGAGGCAGGAACATAGACGAGTTGAATAGTTCCTTAAACCACAGTCATTCAGGTAGCAACTTCACAACGTCTGCCATAATCAGGCATTGCTTGTAAAATCTAGCTAGTTACCCTCATTTCCCACGAGCCCTGCATCTTTATTTAAACAACAAAAAAGCATAGCAAATACTAGAGAGGGTGTTTAAAGGCATAGTGGCACCAAAAGAATTTCCCCTGATGCAGTTGGTTTAAAAGAGAACTGAGTTAGAAAAGCTCCATTTTACAACCATCATACTGATATTTGATTCAGGCAGGAATGATCAATGGATGCCAAAATTTGTGAGTGAAAGTTTGAGGGAGAACCGGATATTTACATTGTCTTCAAGTATCTTCCTACCAGATAACTGGTTAATTTGAAAGGGAAAAACAGGAGCTTTGCGAGTGAAGAAACCTGGCAGACACCCCGCGTTAACCAGATCACAGTTAACATCACAAGCAGATATCATGTGCTTCCCAATGTGGCACACGTGATGTGTTCCTCTCTGTGATATTCCTGCCCCAGATGCAGGAATCGAAGCAGGAGGAAACAGCAGAGAAACCCAGGCACAAGGGCATTCTGATACAACACTTTAATAACTGGCCTGGGAATGTCATGACAGTATCGTGAAACACACATACAAAGGGCTGAGGACACATTCCAAATTGAAGGCGACTAAAGAGAGATGGCAACTAAACACACTCTGTGATCCTGGATGGAATCTGGGACTGGGGAAAAAAAATGCAATAAACATTACTGGGACAAATTGGCAAAATTGGAATATAAACTGTAGTTTAGGTAACAGTAGGGTATCAATGTTAAATTGCCTGAATTTCATACTTTTACTGGAGAGAATGTTCTTGTTCTTAGGAAATTCACTGAAATATCAGGGGTCAAGGGGCATGATTATGCAACTTACTTTCAAATGGCTCAGAAAAAGAAAGTGGGGGCGGGGAAGAGAGAGGGGAGGGGTAAGGAAGGAGGGAGGGAAGAAAAGAGCAAATGTGAGAAAAAAGTGACGAAGGGCGAAGTTGGGAAAATGGCCTAAGGAGCTTCTCAGTCTTGTAAATTTTCTATGTGTTTGCAATTATTTTGAAATAATAAAGAAAAGAAAAAGCAAGAGCAGTGACAACGGACTCCTCCTCGCCACGTGGCCATGCTGACGACCATGCACCTGGGCATCATCTCCAGGATGTGTGGAGTCCCGGTCCACGGGAGGGGGACACAGAGCTCCGCTGAGCCCAAGGTTGAAGGGAGCAGGAAGTGTGCGGGTGGGGGCCGAGCTTCTCGGGGGATGAAAGAGGTGTCCCTGAGTGAAAATCTTGTCCCCATACCGGAAGGTCTTCAGCTCAGAGAGGGATAGCAGGAGGCTTTGCAGCAGCAGAGAGCTGGCATCACAGAGGTTCACTTGGGACAAGCTGAAAAAGTCCAAGCATATTCCAGAGGATTTCAGGCTGAATACATTTCAGGGATCAACATAGGGATGGGGAGGCCAAGAGAGGGGAAAGGCCCCACCAAGGAGCTCCCAATGGGGCAGGACTCCCCTCTGCCACCCTGGGGTTCTCCCCCACTGGTCCAATGAGAGAAACAAGAATGCCGGGGTTAGCATGGCCCCAGGCTCTGTTCATCCCCATCCTGCCCTGGCCAACCTCTCACTTATGGCCTGAAGCAGGCACTGGGGTCGACCAGAGAACTCAGGGCCTCAGTGTTTCAGGGTACTGACCTGAGCTGCCGCAGCCGGGCACATGTCTCCATCAGCTGCCTGGCAAGGAGGTTTTGGTGGGTTCCCAGGTCACAGTGAGCCAGCCTGGCGGTGGAGAGGGAAGCAGCAGTCTGTAAACACCTGGGTCAGTATTGAGGACTCAGTCCCTGCCTGCAAGGAGTGTGTCTGAAGGTGGTAAATAAATGCTAATCAAATAAGGTCCCACAATTTACCAATCGATCATGGGAAGTACTATGAAGGAGAGGTCCATATAGGGGACCTGGTATGGCTGTGCAGGTTGTTCACTGCACGAGGGGATCCACCCAAGGAAGTGAGTCAGGGCTGAGATCTAGGTATGGTCTATGCCTCACAGTGTACACATGCAGAGCTGCATACACCCCAAAGAGGTGACATTTTAGTTTCCATAAACGTGCTATATGGATCGGAGGAGCTGTGAGCCCAGGCATCTATGAGAGTGGATAAAGGGAGGATCTGACTAAGTCTGGGTGGTTGGAGGGACCCCCCTGAAATGGTGGCATTCAAGCTTAGACCTGAAGGACGGGACTGAGTTAGCCAGGTGAAGAAGGATGAAGAAGGAAAGAGGACAGAACATGCTGAGCGGGAGGAACAGCCTGTGCAAAGGCCCTGAGGTCAAAGGGAGAAAGGTGGTGTTCGAGGACTGAAAGCTAGTGGGGATGGCTGGAGCTAAGACTGGGGTTTGGGGTGGGGATGGACAGCATGGTGAGTCAGGTTAGGCCAGGTCTCATTGGCCACGGAGAGACCTTGGGCATCAAAGGATTCTGAGTAGGGGCATGAGAAATATTGGTCAGAAGCAGCATTACCCCTCCTCTCCCTCCCCATCACCATTCAACCTCTTTCTTGGGGTCCCAGGTACTGGGTCCCACCTGAGGGCCACGGCTTCTGGGTTCTCCTGATGGGGAAATTCCAGCTGGATACTGAGCTGTTGCTGGGTCTTGGAGATGCTGAGGAGGGAAGGGGTGGCCACAGTGAGGTCCACGGGAGCTTTCCCTGTAGGCTGTGCTGGGACTGGGCCACTCAGCCGACAGCTCCCAGACCCAGTGGGGATCCAGACACAGGTCAACGGGACACTAAAGCCTTTGGTTTTGGCTAATCCATGGGATTCTGGTACCTCTGGTCATGGAGCCCTGGTGTGTGCTGCGGTCACCAGGGGCCGATTACAGACAACCAGCATGGACTCCCAGCAGTGTCCGTCTGGAATCTAACAGCCCATTGTCTTGGATCTGGGGTTGCCTTCCTCTCTCCAGCACTGCTGCCTAACTACTCCACAAGTCCACAACTCTCTTGTGACCCCATGGACTATAGCTCACCATGCTCCTCTGTCTATGGGATTCTCCGGGCAAGAATACTCCAGTGGATTGTCATTTCCTTCTCCAGGGGATCTTCTCAACCCAGGGATTGCAACCAAGTCTCCTGCATTGGCAGGCAGATCCTTTACCACTGAGCCATCCGGGGAGCCCAACAAATATGTGTAGCCCCTCACATAGGTTCCAGGAACTCTTGCCATCTTGGGGACCCAGAGAATCCACTAGGGACCCAGCTATGACACCACAGGACAAGAGACCAATGGCTACATAAGGGATGATCCCAGTGGTCATGAAAAGACGAAAGAATCTGAGGGGCCTCCTTCCTGGACTTACCTTATTTCAGTGATGTTGCCTGAGGCCTGGGCACAGACTTCCAGCAGCGTGAGGACCCCGGCTCTGCCCACCCAGGGCTCCTCCACCCTGTCAGACAGGTGCAGTGACAGGTGCTCAGTTGTGTCTGACTCTGTGACCCCATGGACTGCAGCCCGCCAGGCTCCTCTGTCCATGGGATTCTCCAGGCAAGAGTACTGGAGTGGGCTGCCAGTCCCTTCTCCAGGGAATCTTCCCGACCCAGGGATTGAACCCAGATCTCCTGCACTGTAGGCAGATTCTTCACCATCTAAACTACCAGGGAAGTCACAGAGGTGGACATAGACAAAGGTTCCCCCAAGGTTAGTGTGGGAGGGGAGGAGAGTACTAAGGGTTGGGGGGGCGGGGCTAGAGGCTTTTTGGGTTTTGGTGGATAAAAAAATTAAATTAAAAATTAGGCATAAGCATAAAACAGAAAATTAACACCATCCTTGTTCCAACCATTCAAAGAGAAATTTTTTTAAATAGTACTTTTAGATTTAAGAAAAAGTCTATATAACATCACATTGCAAAGATAAGGAAATTAGACTATATATAAGACAGGATCCCAATTTTGTATTTCAAAAAAGGAAAAATATATATAGAAACACATATGGTGAGGAAGAGGGAGATAGAGCTATGAGAAAAATATATTAAATGTTAATAGTGATGGTATCAATTACAGAATTCTCCTGGATGGTTTTTTTGTAGTTGTCAATATTTTCTGAACTTTCTACAATGTGCATGGATTAATTTAGAAGCAGGAAAAAAGAGTTGTTTAAAATATTGCTGCTTTTAAAGTTATGTTGAATTTTTTTTCAAAGTACTATTTTATTACGTTCTTCTGGGTTTTCCACAAATTTCTATGAGGAGTACATATTATTTTTAGAGTAAGGCAAGTTTTAAGTAAAAATATTGTTTGCAGTGATCCAGTGCTTCTGGGTATATACCCCAAAGAACTGAAAGCAGAGATACAAAGAGATATGTGTACACACACATCAGAGCAGCATATTCACAACAGCCAAAAGGTGGAAGCAACCCAAATGGCCACTGATGGATGAATGGTTAAAGAAAATGTGGCTCATCCGCATAGTAGAATATTATTCAGCCTTAAATAGAAAGGAGATTCTATAAGAAGGTACAATAAAGATGAACCCTGAGGATATTGTGCTAAGTGAAACAGACCCATCACAAAAAGACAAATACTGTATGATTCCACTTGTTTAAGGCATGGACAGGGGTCGAATCCATAGAGACAGAGAGTAGAAAGGTAGCTGCTAGGGGTTGGGGGAGGAGGCACGGTGGGGGCCTTAACGGGCAGTGAGTTTCAGTTTTCATGAGGTGTTTCGGATACACAACATGAATGTTACTTAACACTACTGAACTGTACACTTAAAAATGGTTAAGACGGTAAACTCTGTTATGTGTGTCCTACCAGGATTTTTTAAAATGTCATGCTGGGCAACAACCAGACTTCATGTGCCTCATCACCGGCGGCGCTGGGAGGTGCACAGCCTTGGCCAGCAAGCAGGTATTTTTGGACACAAATATGTAACTGAATCTCACGGAGCCTTTCCAGTTCTAGGAAAGTCAGGGGTTAAGAGGAACAAACTCAATGACCTCACAAGGAAGCACCAGACAGAGCCAGAAATGGCCCAGGGGACCGGTTTTCTCAACAAAATTGGACCACCAGGGAAGTGCCTGGGCGTCAAAGTTTCCTTTTTTTTCTGAAGTCCCCAAGTACAGGCCACCCATTAAAAAAGTCCAAAGAGCTGTTACCTCTTCATCACGAAAATGTGGACCTTGACGGGATCCTGGATCCAAAGAGCCAGCTGTCCCATATGGGGGCAGTGGGAAATTTCAGACTGGCTTAATACCTGACACCAAGGACTTGCTACTCATTTTTGTAGGGGTCCTAATTCAACTGTGGTTATGTAGAAAATGTCCTTTTTTTTTTTTTTAAACACTTGTGGTGAACCCTTTTTGTGTGATGGTTTATGAGATCAATAACTTATCTTAGCTAAAAAATAGAAAGCAAAGATGGAAAACATGAACTGTCAAACCTAGGTGATGAGGAGTTTTCAAAATTGCTTTTCTACTTTTTGGAATCCTCTCTGTTTTCCTGAAAGTTTTTGAAAGATCAGAGTGAACATATTTGTTACATGTTATTTCTGACCTCCACTGGGTGTCTTTTATTTTTATGGCCATGTGGTGGGGCATGTGGGATCTTAGTACCCCAACCAGGGATCAAGCCTATGCCCCTGCAGAGGAAATACAGGAAGTCCCCGGGGGTCCTTTTAAGTTTCCTTTTTTTCTGAAGTCCTCAAGTACAGGTCCTACCTTGGGCAGGGGGTGGGGGAGCTTTTCTGCACCTGAGGGGGTTTCTGGGACTAATGGCGGGGTGGACGGGGGTGGGGAAGAATCTGCATCCAGATGGCAGGGTTCTGGATGCAGGAAATGGCTAAGACCATGACCTTGGGGGAACCCTTTCTTCAGAGCCCACTTCTGCCCTCCATTCCTACCACAGCCCCCTCCCAGGGTCAGGGCAGGCGGTACCTGAGAGTGAGCAGCCCCATCGGCCACGTTAGCAGACCCAGGAGGACAGTCAGCTGCTCCAGGCCGGGGAAACAACAGGTCAGCCTGCGGACAGAGGTCATTCTGGCAGGGAGCCCCCACCCCTTGGTTGCCCCCACGGGCTGGGCCCAGTCACTCACATGAGCTCCGTCAGCTGCAGGGCCTGGCTCAGGCTGGTGGCCAGTCTGGGCACGTGCTCTGGCTTGAAGTGGCACTCTCTCAGCCTGAGGGCAGAGGGCAAAGGGCAGAGCTTGGGCAAAGCCTGTCGGGACTACAGTCCTGCTGTCCCCCAGTCTCCCCCAGGACCCAAGGGGGAGCCCCCACTGGGTGCAAAGGCCTGGATCAGGACCTGAGAAAAGGCCCAAGAGGCAACCTGTATTCTGGGAGCTTCTCTTTGGAGAGACCACCTCCCAAGAAAGTGCTAGAGTCATCACTCACTGAGCCCTGACTCTAAGGCCGGCCCTGGGCCAGCCCCTGGGTACACCCCGTGAGCAGGCAGGCATGCCTGCCTTAAGTGTGGCATCTCACTGAACCCCAACCGCATCACCTACAGGCAAAGAGACTGACCAACCCAAGGACACACAGTTGGAAAAAAGCAGCGACAGATTTCAGTTTTAATCCAAGTCAGCCTGACTCCAGACCCTAAACCTGTCACCACTTCCCTAGTCTCCAGGCTCCCTTGGGTGCAGGGGAGGGGGGTGCTGGGATTCCTGCTATGGCCCTGTCCTCCCAGGGCCCGGCCCATGTGGCCGGCAGACGGGCCCTGGAGCACTGTCTCACAGATGGGCTGAGAAGAGGATCCAGCACAGCAGAAGAGGGCCGCTCCCTCTCACAGGACAGGGGCCACCGGAGGCGTCCAGGAAGGGCGGACATGTGAGCTGGGTCATACGGCATTGGGAGAGTTTGATCTCAGAAAAGGCAGGGAAGAGAACGCCAGGCTGAGTGCCCAGAAGCAGGGACGCTTCATCAGGCAGTGCGTGCTTGGCGAACAAAGATCCCCTGAGGCTCAATCTGTGCACACATGGGGGTGCGTGAGTGGTGTGTGAGTGGTGTGTATGTTACGTGTGGCGTGTACAGGGGGTATGTCTGCTGTGTGTGCATGTGTGTGATGTATTATGCTGCATACGCGTGTGTGTGTGGTGTGTACAGGCTTGGTGTGAGGGTGGTGTGTGTAGGCGGGTGGGAGAAGTGAGGAAGAACACGGCAGGAGGTGGCAACCAGATCAGACTCTGAGAAGACCAGGCTAAGGCATTCGAAGTTTACCCTCGGGGCACTTGGGAGCTACCGCAGTGCTCAGAGCAGCGGACGTACCTGCTGGGAAAGTCCCCCTGGGTGCTGTGGGGGGATTGGAGGAGGCCTGGTCAGAGGCAGGGGACCAATTCAGAGGCCACAATCACAGGTGAAGTAAAACATGTAGAGAAACTCACCCAAGGCTGAGAAAGACAGAGCCTGAGGCTACCAGCGGGGAATTAAAGAAAAAATAACTGATACAGCACTCAAATGAGGCAGGTCTTTTCCAGGCACTTTAAACACATTTAGTCTCACAATAACCGTAAAAGGTAGGTCTCACTATTATTCTCATTTTACAGGTGAGGAGTTGAAACACAGACCGGTCAAGTCACTGGTCCAAGGTCACACGGCTATTTAGTGGCGGAGCGGAAGAAGTGAAAGTGTTAGTCGCTAACTCGGGTCCGACTCTTTGCGACACCATAGACTGTAGCCCGCCAGGCTCCTTGTCCACATGATTCTCCAGGCAAGAACACTGGAGGAGGTTGCCACTCCCTTCTCCAGGGGATCTTCCTGACCCAGGGATCAAAGCTGCGTCTCCTGCATTGGCAGGTGGATTCTTGGCTGAGACCTACCCCAAGCGGCTCCAGAGTCGGACTGTTTAACTCAGAAGCCTCCAGACTCAAAGTCAGGCTGTGGCTAAGGGCCACAAACACCACTTGAAGGCCTGGTCCAGGGGCTGAAGGTGTGGGGAGACTGGGGGCAGATGTGGGAGAGACAAACCCAGGCAGTAGCTCCAGGCAGAGTGTGTGAAGGAGGAGGGGACCCTGGGAGGAAGGAGGCACAGAGGCCACCACAGGGTCAGCCTCCTCTCCCAGGTTCTCCCGCCTTTCCCGTCACCCCAGACCACGAATTACCTCAGTGTCTTCCCACCCTCCTCCTGTCGGGAGAAGTGAATCCAGAAGCTCTGCTTGGAGCCCAGGCTGCAGAGAGAGGGATGTATGGGAGCCCAAGGCCCAGCCTTGCCAGCATCCCTAGGACCCAGGTGCCAGGGGGTGCAGGGAGGGATGGGGGCTGGGCCCACAGGGGCACGGGAGGGTGGAAGCCACGGGAGAGACCCTTGCTGACCAGAGGAGACCCCTACCTCCTCCTTCAAGGATGCTAAACCTGGCGTTTCCCCACCCGGTGGCCTCCCTGGGCCCCATTCGGGCACACATGTGGACCTCAGAGGATGGAAACTGTGATCCCACAATCAGTGACCTCTGAGACTCAGAGGCTCAGAGGTTGCTCCAAGTCACACAGACGGAGGGCCACTGAGCGTGCGAGTCTTGCTTCCCCACCATCAGCAAGTGGCACCGATGTTTCCTTACTTCACTGAGGCCTCCCGGACACGTGGGCAGGAGGGCAGAGCCTCCAGCAGGGACAAGACACTTTCCTGAGACATACTGTTGTGGCTTAGACTAGAAGAGAAAAGAGGTTCAGGATGAGGGGTGAGGCAGCACCTCAGTGAAGCCCTGCCCAGCCCGCTCATCTCCTCCATTCCAGCTGTCATCTCCTAGAGGGGAGTCCTCAGTGTCCAAGTGTCCATCCTCCAGGTGGAGACACTGAGGTCCAGAGAGAAGCCAGAGGGGCGCTATCGCCATCCTGGCAGGCCAGGCAGCATACTCTGAAAACTTTGAGAGTCGCCCCCACCATGCCTGCTGCCCCTGTGGTCTGAGACCAGGGGTGAGGGCAGTGATGAGGCCAAGCTGCCAGCTCCAGCTCCATGGGGGCCAGGGATGCCTGGAGTGCAAATCTCAGTTGCCTAGCAACAGACTGTATCCTGGGTCTGGACATCAGTCTCCCAGGTCACTGGGGAGACTGAGTGACTGAAGATGACTTCCCAGGGGCCCTCCCTGCTGTGGCGACATCTCTAAATCTGTGTCCCATAAATTTGGTCAGAGAAGCTTCAGGGATAGGATGGATGGACCAAGAGCCAGGACAACTGAGATTTCTGCAGCTGATCAGGGCTGAACTGTTGCTCCCTGCCTGGGGTCAACTTGGGCCACCAAACTTTAGTCACAATCTCTCACGGGTGTTTGGTGAGAGCCCCACCAATAGTGGGCAATGAAGGAAGGAGGAAAGGACCCAAGGTGGGTGTTGGGGGGGAATCAAGGTAAAAATCACCCCCTCCCCAGCCCTTGCCCCTGTAGTTCTTCAGGGATGCCTGTAAAGAAGCCCACTAACATTCCGGGCCCTGGGGAGTCTTCCTCCTTGTTGTCCTCAGGGCTGCTCATCACTTACTCAAGTGAACTGGAGATGGGCACCTGGGGGAGGTGTTCCAGGAGGCACCTGAGCCCATCATCACCCAGCAGGTTTGCTGAGAGGCTGTAAAAGGTACGAGGAGGAGGTGGTTGGTGCTCTGACGTGCCTGCTCTTTCCGTGAGCATCACTGCTACTCCACCCACCCCGCACCATCATCATCACCTCCACTACTATGCACAGCTTCTGTTCCAACAGCACCGTCATCACCACCAGCACCATCCCATCACTACTAATTAGCATCCCTGTCTGCATCCCCATCACCTCCATCAATGCTAGCACAATCACCCCCATCCCCTCACCAGCACCACAGTTAACCAGTCCTCATCTTTCCCTTCAGTATCTGGTGACCACTCCCAGGACTCCAGCAGGCTTTCAGGAATTAGAGAAAAAGCAATTAGCTTTTTACTACGCACTTGGCCTCTACCTGTTGGGAGTCGTCATTTTTGAACAAGAGTCAATTCAAGAAAAAGACAGACATTTGGAGGACACATTTACCCAAAATATTTCTTTTAATTTGGGAATGCAATATCAGAAACTGCACTTGAAGACTTTATTTCCCTCCATTTGTAGCATCCTATGGTTTTAGCTACAGTTTCAGGAACAAAATAATCAGTGTGCCGGGAATATCTGATTTTTACACTGCAAATTTGAACTCATTTTGCCCCTGATGATGAGACTTTTGAGACTTATTTCCATCTTTTCCTGAGAAATTTTAAAAATGAAAAAGTCTGTCTCAGGAAGGCACTTAATGAAATAATTTTTAGAATATGAAAAACCTCCCTTGAATGAAAAAACTGAAAAACTCAAAAGACATCTTTGCTTATTCATCTTTCTTTAAAATCCATGATTTTCATCAGCCACATTTCTCTCCTTGGCCACACCACAAGGAATTTAAATTGTGGGTTTTTTTTTTGGTGGACAGCGCTCTTTATGTTCTGCTTGTCCTAAGCTGGACTCCTAATAGTTCTGAGCAAAGGCTCTGCGTTGTCCTAGGTGTGTGACTTAAGGCAGATTTTTAAACTCTCTCAGTCCGCTCTATACTCAGGGTTGTCGAGAGGGAGGATAAAAAGGATATGTAAAGCACTTAGAATAGTAGAAAACGTGCTCGAAGCTTTCTTCCCCTACCCATGTAGGGCTACACTATTCGGGCACTGAAGACAGGCCACAGAGATACCACCTCTCATCAATCTGAGAGCCCACACAACCGCACGCTGGCTGGCTCTGGGCCCTGCATTGGCTATTCTTAACCAGCTGCCCAGCAAACCGACGGGCCCTTCCTTTCAGGCTCCGCCAGCCATCAGAGCCCCAGTGCCTTGACCAACAAGAGGCCAAGGGGCTCCCGCGGCGCTTTGCGAAGTGAGAGTAACTCAAAGTCTTAGTTGCTCAGTTGTGTTTGACTCTTTGTGACCCGGTGGACTGTATGTAGCCCGCTAGGCTCCTCTGTCCGTGGGATTCTCCAGGCAAGAATACTGGAGTGGGTGGCCATTCCCTTGTCGAGGGGATCTTCCGGACCCAGGGATCGAACCAAAGCCTCTTGCATTGCAGGTGGATTCTTTATCATCTGAGCCACCAGTGAGGCCCAGTCCTTTGCCTAAGGCTCCCCTAAATCGATCAGGAGTACACCCTAAACTAGCTCTATGTGGTGGAAGTGGGGGATGGGACGATAAGATGGGGACAGAGAAACTTTACAGATGTGACTGAGTCCCAGGCATCCTCTTCTCTGTTAGGTGGTCCAGAGAGCTGCTGAGTGCATGCATGGGTGTACACACACACACACACACACACACCCTTGAGGTGCCATGCAGGACATGCTCCAACTTACTCCAGCTGGTTGAGGTCTTCACACTTGCTCAGCAACCAGCACAGTGGCTCCACGTGTTCCTGGCGGAGGCCGCAGTCAGTGAACCTGCCGCAGAAAGGGAGATGGGGCCCCTAAGCTGGGTATGGCCTCGAAGCTCCAGCAGGGCTTCACTCAAGCTTGGATTCTCTAGAAATATCCAGCACCCACCCGTACCACCTCCCCTGCCCAGCAGATCCCACATAGGTTTCCTCTCTGAGGGGGTGGTTCTCAAAGTGGGGTCCCCGACAAGCCCCAACGTCACCCCTTTGGGAGCGTGGTGAGAGGCACATGCTGGGAACACAACCCAGACCCGCTGAACAAACAGCTCTAGGAACAAGGCTCTCCAGGGTGATTCTGATTCAGTCAAGGTGAACTATAGCTCTTGGAGTCACTTTAATGAGCAGACATGGGGGTGGAGTGGAGGAGACCCAGGGTGAGGTCTCCTTCTGTAGAGGGTTATTCATACTGGAATCAAAGTCATAGTAAAGTTTGTCTTCGAGAGGCCTATACTGAGACTACGCAACAAGGTAAATAAATAGCTTATGGCTAGCCAGCAACTTAAAAAAAAAAATCTTAGAATGATAAAGTACCTAAAACCCATAACTCAAATTTTTATCATTGTTACTCTCCATTTTTTTCAGTCCCAAATTCCTTATTATACTATTATTTATTTCTTATTTTTAAATCAGCTCATCCTTTTTATTTAATGCACTTATCAGAAAAGAAAACCCTGTATCACTTATTCCAGTGGAAAATTGGCATTTCCTGCCCCGAACAGACCATAAGGATAAGGATACAGGAAATGAGGACAAAATATCATCATTAAATTCAAGCCAGATATTGGCACCTGCTGAGGGCTCTCCTTCTACTTAAAACGGAGCTTGGCAGATGTGAAGAGGTGTCACAGACACACTCAGAGGCAACTGAGACTTCCTCTTGGCCTTGTGTGAGCTTGTTGCTTCAGTTATGTCTGATTCTTTGTGACCCCAAGTGCTGTAGCCTGCCAGGCTCCTCTGTCCATGGAATTCTCCAGGCAAGAATACTGGAGTGGGTAGCCATTCCCTTCTCCAGGGGATCTTCCCAAACCAGAGATCTAACCCAGGAATCTCCTGTATTACAGGCAGATTCTTTACTGTCTGAGCCACCAGGCCCTTAATCAGACACTGAATTGAAAAAGGAAGAATTTGATGAAAGTCAACCAGTAGTTATGTATGGATGTGAGAGTGGGACTATAAAGAAAGCTGAGCGTGGAAGAATTCATGCTTTTGAACTGTGGTGTTGGAAAAGACTCTTGAGAGTCCCTTGGACTGCAAGGAGATCCAACGAGTCCATCCTAAAGGAAATCAGTCCTGCATATTCGTTGGAAGGACTAATGCTGAAGCTGAAGTTCCAAAACTTTGGCCACCTGATGTGAAGAGCTGACTCATTGGAAAAGACCCTGATGCTGGGAAAGATTGAAGGCAGGAGGAGAAGGGGACGACAGAGAATGAGATGGTTGGATGGCATCACCAACTCGATGTACTTGAGTTTGAGCAAGCTCTGGGAGTTGGTGATGGACAGGGAGGCCTGGTGTGCTGCAGTCTATGGGGTCGCAAAGAGTCGGCCATGACTGAGTGACCGAACTGAAGTGCTCCATTATCAGCCCAGCCTCCTAAAAATCATCCCATCCTAGTCTGTGTCCTACATTTTGGAAATCAGACTTAGAAACTATGAAGGAATTCTAGAAGTCACCATAGTGTTCAGTTAGGATATGAACTGGAAAAACTACCACCCAAGGCAGCCTATTTTATATGACCAGCATGCTAAGAATGGTCTATCCATTTTCAAATAGTTGAGGGAAAAAAAAAAAGTCAAAAGAAGAGTAACATTTCATGACATGTAAACATTACATGAATTAAAGTCTCAGTGTTCACAACTCCAATTTTACTGGCACACAGACACGCCATTATTTATATATTGTCTGTGCTGCTTTCAGACTTATGATCTAAGTCTTTACAGAACACATTTGCTTGCCCCCGGGCTAGAAGCGCTGTTGTACTGCCTGGATTCAAGTCCTAGCTGCACCCCAACCTGTGGCGTGACCACAGCTATGAGGCTTCTAGGGTGTAATGTGCACGAGGCTCTCAGAATGGTGTCCTGCAGATGCTCAACAAATATCAGCTCTTTATTAGTTGTTATTTCACAGCTGAGAAGGCTGAGACACAGAGAGGAGAAAGGTCTGGTCCACGGTCACTTGGTGAGCCAGTGGCATCAGATAACTATCAGAAATGTCATCTGGTGCATTTAAAGGTTGCCCCCTCAGCCCATTATCCTGTCTCCTGTGCAATGCCTGCCCTCTGTCACCGAGACAACCACACAGCACTGGTCCAGGAGTCAGGGGGAGGGGGGCTTTCATATCTGAGTGCCTCTTGTGTTTTCTATGTTGCCTTGTATCATCTTGGCCAACAGCCTGCAATCTACCATCTGCTATCACCAGCTCCCTTTTCTCAGCGAAAGCTGAGGACTGGAGAGGTTAAGGAACCTGCCCAAGGGGCCAGACCCTGGTGAGGCTGGGATTTTTTTTTTTTTAAGATTTTATTTATTTATTTTTGACCATGCCACATGGCATGCCAGATCTTAGTTCTCTGACCAGTGATCAAACCCATACCCCACTGTAGTCGAAGTGCAGAGTCTTAACTGCTAGACCACCAGGGAAGTTCCGGGCCTGTTAAAGCCTGGGGGCAGGTAGTGGAACAGTCCTCGGAGCAGTCCTTGAGCTCTGATCCGGTCTGCTGCGGACTCCTCATTTGCCCGTGACAGTGCTCGGCCCTCTCAGTCTGTCCTCTGCTCTGGACATACAGGAGAACAGTCTGTGTGTCCCCGATCTTCCCCTGTTATACCGGGGCTCTGTTCCAGGGGACTTACCAACAGCACCTGTCTTCCTGCTCCTCACCAGACCTGAAGTGCAGTGTCAAATGACGCAGGGACCTGGAACAGACAGCACCTTCATCAGCCACCTTCGACCACAGCTTCAGGATGCGCCCAGGGGGCAGGTTCACCTTCTTGAGCAGCTGAATCTCTGATTTGGGTCCCACTGCCCTCACCCCCACCCTTCACATCCAACAGCCTCCAGCACCACCCTCCCAGCTGAGTTCTGGTTGCCCCAGGGCAATGCCCACCTGAGATCCACCTTCTGAACTTGTGGGCACAGGTTAAAGAGGTCAGCTAGCAGGAGGGGGCTCCTTGGAGGCAGTTGCGTCTGGCTCAGTCTGACAGGGAAAGAAGTGGGGTCCTACGTGAGCAAGTTGGAGCCAAGCAAGATCTGTGGGCAAGAAACCTGGACACAAAGGATGGGGGGCACTGGCAGGTGAGCCAGGCAATAAGGAAGGAGGCAGCGACTCAAGAGGGAAAAATAGGAGCTCGGGGTCAAGTGGGCTTAGGTTTGGCTCTAGTCCTGCTTGTAGGCTGTGTGTCCTTGGATAAGTAATTTAACCTCTCTGAGCCTCAGTTTCCTTATCTGAAAAACAGGACTGTTTATGGCACACCTTCTTCTGGGGTGTTGTGAGTACAGAAACATCTTAAGCTTGTGCACTGCCTAACACAATACCCTATGCTTGTTGTGTTGTTATTATTATACTGTTTCTATCCCAAGGACTAACAGGTGAGCCCTTGCTGACAGGGAGTGGGAAGCTGCAAGCCATAAGAGTTTCTCAAGGTCAGCACTGCCAAGATAATTCTTTGGTATTGGGGGCTGTCCAATAGGAAGTTTAGCAGCATCCCAGACCTCTGCTCACTAGATGTCGGGAAAGATTGAGGGCAGGAGGAGAAGGGGATGACAGAGGATGAGATGGTTGGATGGTATCACTGACTCAGTGGGCATGAGTTTGAGCAAACTCTGGGAGAAAGTGAAGGACGGGCAAGCCTGACGTGCGGCAGTCCAAGGGGTCGCATAGAATCAGACATGACCAAGCGACTGAACAACTCACTAGATGCCAGCAGAAGCACAACCTCCTGCACCCTCCACCACCACCACCAAAAACGTCTCCATCCTGAATGTCCCTGAGGAGCAAAACCACCCCCAGTTGGGAAGCATTGCCTTAGAGAAAGTGACATGCTTCCACCTTGCCCTCGCTCCAACAACCTTCCAGCAGCGTGTCTTGTCAGTTCCACCTCCCAGGTCCACCCTGAATCTATGTACTTCCCTCTCCCCTTCCCATTCCCAGCCCTCTCGTCTCCTATTCTGGCTGCACAGCTCCTCCGTGCTCTGACTTCCAAGCTTCTCCCAGTATCCCTTCTCCACCCAGCTGCCAGGCTAAGCTTTTGAAAACACAAATCATCCCTCTCCTTTTCAGGTCTCCTTGGGCAAAACCCCAAACTCCTCCCATGGCTACCAGGCCCTGTGTGGCCGGGCCCAGGCTCGTGTCTCCACCTTCTCTCCTACAACTCTGCTGGCCACTGTGCTCTGACCACACTGGCCTTCTGCCTGTTCCTGGAACACACCAAGCTCCACCCTGCCTCAGGGCCTCATGCATGCTGTTCCATCTCCTTGACATGCTGTTCCCTGCTTTGCACAAGGCTGGCTCCTTCTCCTCCCTCTGGCCATACCCCAGTGTCCCTCCTTAGAGGTGTTCCCTGACCACTCCCCACTGTCTAAATCACGTCCAATAATCTCTTTACCATATTACCTAGAAAAATACACTATCACTGTCTGAATCCATCTTATTTGTTTTCACTCTGCTTATTGACCTCTCCTACTACAAGGTAAGCTCCAGGAAGACAAGGGTCTGGTCATTTTTTCCCCTCTCCGTTGTGTCTCCAGCACCCCAAACAGTGCTTCAGAGCAGTGTACAAACAGTATGGACTGAGTAATACAAAGCTTAAGCACTGGCGAGAGTCAGGCTGGTCACCTCATTCCAAAGATAGACAAAGAGTCGGGCACTGATGCTGTGTGACCTGGGCATAGAGAAGCCCCTCTCTGGTCTGAGGTTTCCTACCTATTTATTTTAACCTGCAACTTATGTGTCCCAAGGAACCCACCCTTTCCTGGCAGGGAGGAACCAGAGTGGGTTCTGTATTTTGACACGGGCTCTGCCACACTTGGGGCTTCCCTGATGGATCAGATGGTAAAGAATCTGCCTGCGATGCAGGAGACCCTGGGTTGGGAAGATCCCCTTGAGAAGGGAATGGGTAATGACTCCAGTATTCTTGCCTGGAGAATTCCATGGACAGAGGAGCCTGGCAGGCTACAGTCCAACACTTGCCCACCTCTGAGAAGTCACGTCTCCTCCCTCTCCCACGGGACTCAGGGATAAGTAAGATCCTGGGTGTGACGAGAGCCATCTCAGGCGGCCGAGAGATCCTTAGCAGGAGTACTTAATGTTGCTGTTCTTAATGGTACAATTTAATTTTCTGCTGTATTTTTCCATCTCAGCTACAGCTGCTTTTGCTCCCTGCTAGAAAAATATTTAAAGTAAATCCTTTTTAAATTCTAAGCAGTCTGAGCTGAAATTAGAAAACAGAGTTTTAAATGCTTTGGGGGATGCTGTTTAAATTCCCCTTTTACAGAATTAGATGGTGACCTTTCAAAACGGGTGTGTGATGTATACATGACCTACAACTGTAAAGTCTCTTTAGAGGAGCAGGTGACCTTTCTGTGGGTGGGAAGAGGTACCTTGGCCCGGTTGTCACAGGCCTTCTATTCTTCAAGGTGCTTTTAGAGCAACTGTCTTGTCTGAATCCCAACCCTGGGGGGACGGTGAAGACTATTAGTCTCATTTGTCAGATGAGGAAACTGAGGCTTACAGGGGTCCAATAACTCCTCTGAGGTTGATAAAGTATTAGGGAAGAGCTGGAAGCAGCTCCAAGTTGTGCCAGGTAAAATGATGAAAGAGTTCAAGAGAAGGAGGGAGGGGGCAGAAGGGGATGGCTTTTCAATGCAAGAGCCTTGGCTCTGCACCAGGAAATGGGGAAGTTGGTCTTACTGCAGCAGGCTTAGCTGGGGGAGCTGTGGTAGGTGGTGCAGCAGGGTCTCCAGGCTCTGGTCACTCAGCACCTCGCAGGACAATCTGAGAAACAAAGCATCTGAATGAGGTGGGGAAATCGGGAAAAGCTAGATGTGTTCTATACCAGGACTGCCCAAAACACCCGCTGTGAACACTGGGTCCTTGAGTTATCATTGAGGCCGGAGGAAAAGGAAGGTCGTACATGCTTGGGAAACGCCAGATTAAGTCACATTAGTTTTCTCAGCTGCAGGACTTCTCAGAGCCTTTAATCTGCTCTCGTGCCTTGTGAATTTCTAAGGGACTATAGTAGGTGTTTTTTTTCCCCCAAAGACATGGACTAGAAGGATCATTCTTTTGAGGGCCTTGAAGACTGGTACCCTGTGGAACGCACCTGTTAAGAGAATGCTGCCTTAACCCAAAGTAGTGAACAGACTAGTGGCAATTCAGGCATTTAATGGGTCAGCAAAGAAGAGACACAAGGTAGCTCGGATCTCTGACTGTCCATCAAAACCAGACCAACCAGCTGATCACTCGTCTAGATAACTCATCAGAAGCCAGCCCACTTAGGAGGAACTCCTGATACCCACCCTGTGATCTCTGCTCTGGCTGGAGGACTGTGTTGACCAGCATCTCCCAGTGCTCTGGGATTTACAAACAGCCCTCCCTGGGAGTTGGGAGCCACCACCTGACCCCCAGAGGCATTTGGACAGTGTTTTCCTTCTGCCTCCTCCCCTCTTGCTTACCCCTCTTCTCTCTGTCCTCATCCTTGGTCCCCTGAAGGCTGCCCTTTCCATTCACTGGGGCTGTCAGGAGCACCCCAACATGTTCTTTTCTGGCTGGAGGGGAACCCAGCTTGTGGGGACCAGTGGGAGGGGCCGCTTGTGGTTCTGGAGTTGGAATCGAGGAGCCTGTCAGGACCCAGGCTGTAGGCTCAGCTATACCTCCTCTGTCCTAGGACTGGGTCTGGGGCTCAGGGCATAGGCAGAACAGTGGCTTTCACTGAGGTATGGCCTGACCACAAACACCAGTGGCTTTCCCCTGGACCCCCAACAGACATAGTGACATGGCCTCTGCTTGGGTCAGCACTGGGTTTACACAGTTTTGTTTTTTTTTTTTAAAGCAACAGAACCTTTACCTATTACATCTCACATGGAATGCTGAAATGTACACATCATGCACCATGATATAAATGATATTAACAAGCAGAGGCAAGTGGGTGAGGGATCTCTCTGGACTAGCTTTGCAGCTTTTCTATAAAGCAAGTCATCAACTGTTCTAAAATAAATGGTTTGTTTGAAAATTCATTTGTTCCACATGTCTCAATATTTCAGAAAAGCCACAATGTTCTGTGATAGACAAAAGGTTGTTGCAGAACTTATTGAGATCCTGTGTCTGTTAACAACATCATACCCCCTCTTCCTCTGTGTCCATGTGTGTTTGAACAAGGAGAGAGGCATGAAAGGACACACCCCTGGTGTCAACATAAGGATATTGTTAACAATGATAATGGTAATAATAATGGATAATAAGCTTGTTGCAAGGGCCAGAAGGGCATTTGAAATGGGAGCCAGGAAGCAAGGGAAGAAAAAAAAAAAACTAGCAAAATGGAAAAGAACATATGGGGGCAACGGGGCTTCCCTGGTAGCTCAGAGGTTAAAGCGTCTGCCGGCAATGCAGGTAGACCTGGGTTCGATCCCTGGGTAGATCCCCTGGAGGAGGGCATGGCAACCCACTCCAGTATTCTTGCCTGGAGAATCCCATGGACGGAAGAGCCTGGTGGGCTACAGTCCACAATGTCACAAAGAGTCAGACATGACTGAGCGACTTCACTTTCACTTTCAAAGTGAAACTGCAGAATGTAGCTGGCCTGTGACTTCAAACAGGAAAAAACTGTATACACAATGGAGAAGGCCACCAGGACAAACAACAGTGCTGAGCTGAAAAGGGAAGGGGTTATTTAGGTGAGGCAGGTTTGTCTTGGGTTTCTTTATTTTATGGTAATTAGTATAAGAAAATGACAACATGATGATGAGGGCAGGAAAGTCTGACTGTCCACTTTGCAGATGACAAAGCTGAGACCCAAGGGGTTAAAGCCATTTATTTGCCTTAAGTCACCCAGCTGGTCAGTGGCTGAGCCAGGACTCCTGATTCTAAGCCCAGCCTCTGGTCACAGACCCAGGTGTTCTGAGGTGAGCTGGAATCCGGGGTGGGGGGTGTGCCCTGAGGAGGGGCCTTCAGAATGACAGGCTCCAGCCACAGAGGCAAGCCAGGTGGGATCCAGGGTGGGGCTCCCAGGTGCCCCGAGTTGAGCAGATGGGAGATGAAGCCCCAGGCCCAGCACAGCCTCTCTCAGTGGGAGGGGCGAGGTGCCTGAAACCAGGGTCACTGGGAGGCAGCGAGCCTCCAGGAACCTTCCTGGGGTCGGGCTGCGGGGTCTGACAGGAAGGGGCCAGGAAGGACTCACCTGGCCTCTAACCAGGCCACCCCTACCCCAGGTCACTGAGCAGGTGCCCATTTCGTGGCCCTGGGCTGTGTCCTCAGTACTTACTGGACTTCCAGGGGCCCCGGGCACTTCTCCAGAGACTTGCAGAGGTGGGAGATGCTCGGGGGCTCCAGCTGACATTCCCTGAGGCTGAAAAGGGGCAAGCAGGCACGACGAGGTCAGGGAGGGCCCAGGGCCCCTGTCCAGCCCCCCAAACCTGCAGGCCACTGGCCCCTCCCCTGACACGCAACACCCCACCCCCTACAGGCCCCAGTCCCCCTGCTCTGACAGTCACAATCAAGGCCCCCCGAGTGCTCAGCAGCTCTGATCCAGTCCCAAGTCCTCCTGGGACTCCTGCCTACTTCCAGGCTACCACTTTCGCTCACCCGGGCTACTTTAACATCCCCTGGGTTCCCAATCTTGCCTCCCTCAACCCTTCACCCTGCTGGCATCTTATCTGTAACAGTATAAATCTGACCATCCTCTCCTGTGCTGAAAACCATCTGTGGCTCCTCAGTATCCTTAGGCTAAAAGTGAAATATCTTTCCCATGTCTCCACTCACCTTCATTCTCCCCATATAAGCTCCAGACACCGGGAAACGCTCCCCAGGAGCAAAGCCTTCACCCCCCCGCCACCGCCCCCTCCCCACGCTGCCTGGTTCCTGCTCCTCCCCGCTCCCTGATAACCTTGTTCAGGCACCAGCTATGAGCTACCATGTCTTTCTTCTTAGGTGAGGAAATCAAGCCCCAGAGACAGGAGGAGCCCAGCTAGGGTCTCACAGCCTCTCACGGCAGGGCTGGGAAGTCTTCCGAGAAAATAACGTGGACTCCTCCACAAGGGAGGTCTTGGAGCCCCATCACCAGCCCTCCCAGACTCTCCACTCCCTCATCCCTCACCCCATTGTGGTTACCCCCAAACAAGAGGCAGTTAAGACAGTACCAGAAGCTCCTGGGGATGTGGCGCTGACCAAACCCCAACCGGGCTCCAGCTCGGAACTCTGGCAAAGATCCAGCAGCTAACAGATCCCTGCAAGCGGGGAAACCATCTTGAGAGGAAAATTCAAATCATCCACTTGGAAGACTTGATTTATTAGGGCTGGAAGGGCCTTTGTCACAGTCAAGCCCCTCCCTGGACGGATGGGGCAACTGAGGCCCAGGGAAAGGAAGTCAGAGCCAGGATACCCACAGCTTATACCTGTCCAGGTGGGCAGCACCTGACCAGGTCAGGTCGGGCGGGCATTAGGACAAGAGCCCCCCTCTTTCTGACCATCACTTTGGGTAGCACTCACATGACTTCAACCTCTCTGCGCCTTGATCCTTCTGGTTTCAAGAACCCAGAGAGTCCCTAGAAGACTAGGGAGACCCTAGCTCAGCAAGCAAGACCACCCTGGCTTCAGGCAGCCCCCTTGCTACCGCGAGGCTTTTCTCTAAGGCATTGTCTGGAAATGCACTCTGACCTGCGGGCCCCACTGGAGGCGCCCTTGTACCGGCCAAGGTGAGACCAGGCGGCCGGCCTCCACTAGGGGGCAGCCTGGAGCCCTGGCACAGAAGGAACTTGTTTACCGCAGGGGCATGGAAACTTTTTCAGAGCACCAACGGTTTTTGGTTTCTCAAATGTGATACTCAGCGTGTGGAAGGGCAGTGATTCACAGGAAGGCAAGAGTCTGCGCAGTTCTACAAAGGTCTCCAGGGGCAGAGGCGGGGCTGCTCCCCGCCACCCTCCCGCACAGCTGCAATCTGCTAGCACCTGTCTTGTGGTAGCATCACCCATCCACTCCTCCCTCCCTCCCGCGTGCACGCCTTCTGAGAAGAGATTTAAGGCAGCTGATTACTGCACATTAATATGGGAAAGAGGGTTACAGAAGTGATCCATTCCAGACTGTCAGATATGGGTGGGTCACTCTATAGCTACCAGCGGTCAGTATGGGCCTGGGTGTGGGGGGTACCTATAGGTAGTGGGAACCAGAGAGAGAGGGGACCACCCCCTGCCCAAACCTCAGAGCTTCCCTCCTTACCTGCCTCTTTGGTCACCTCTCAGGATGACGCGTTGGCTTGCAGAGCTGTAGACAGAGAGAAAGCAGTAGAAAGGGCCAAGGGCTCCCCTCTCGGGCAGTGGCAAGGGCAAGAGACCAGACACGCTGGGTTAATTAATGGTGCCTGCTTTCTCAGCAAGCAGGACGATAAACATACTCCATACGAAGTACACCACTGACATGACCGTTGATTCTCACAATAAAATTGTGAGATAACGAAGTATTCTCACCCCCACTTCACAGACGAGGAAACTGAGGTATAGAGAGACCTAGTGATCTGCTCAAAGCAACACAGCCAGTGAGCAGTGAGCCTGGACTTTTGAACCTGGTCTTTCTGCTACTGCACTGCCTACTCTCGGAAGTGGGAGGGGAGGGATGGGCAGACTTTACCCGAAACCATGGAAGATCTGCTTTGCCTGGCCCAGGGCTGCTTGGCTGGGTGCCTTCCCTTTTTTTTTTTTTTTAACTTTAAGTTTTGTATTGGGCTATAGCCAATTAACAATGTTGTGATAGCTTCAGGTGAATGGGGAAGGGGCTCAGGCATACATATACATGTATCCATTTTCCCCCAAACTTCCCCCCGTCCAGCCCCCATCCAGGCTGCCACATAACATTGAGCAGAGTTCCCTGTGCTATATAGCAGGGCCTTGCTGGTTATACATTTTAAATATAGAAGACTGTATCAGTCCATCCCAAACTCCCTAACTATCCCTTCCCCCAATCGTTCCCACCAGCAACCATGTTTGTTCTCTGTGAGTCTGTTTCTGTTCTGTAAGTTCATTTGTATCATTTCTCTTTAGATTCCACATATAAGGGATGTCATACAATATTTCTCCTTCTCCGTCTGATTTGCTTCACTCAGTATGACAGTCTCTAGGCCCATCCATGTTGCTGCCAATGGCATTATTTTATTCTTTTTAATGGTGCCTTCCCTTCTACACTCTCGTCAGCTCCAGGGACCCCCACCATTCAGGCGGGTCCCTGAAAATTCAATGGCTACCAGAGAGCTCTCATTTTCCTTCTCATCTCCTGGGGCAATCCAGAGAATAAGTATGGGACAGTATACGGATTGTGTCCCATGGTGAATTTCGAGGAATTTGAGCATTCATGGAGCTATATTTTACTCACTGATCTATTCAATCATTCCACAGACACACACCACTTGTTCACTGGGCCTGGTATCACACCAGAGCCCTGAGGATGCTGCATCATGAATGGGACAGACGAGGGACGGGACAGGGCCCCAGGGGCACTCTCACCTGAATTCCAAATGTAGGAGCCACCGCAGAGTAGAGAAGCACTGGGTCAAACTGAACACACCCTCCAGGGACAAGCCGTTCTCACTGAGGCTGGAGAATCAGAGGGGTGTTGTGGGCGAGGCCACTCAGGACTCAGTAACACCCTCTTTGTGGTCAGAGCACAGGGCTGGGGAGGGCTGTCCCTCCCTGTGCCAGACAACGGAACACTCAGAACCCCAGAGTTACTCAGAGTGTCTCTGCCAACTCCCCATTGTACAGACGGGGAAGCTGAGGCCCAGAGAGCAGCAAGGTCTTGCCCAAGATTAAGAGACAGGTTGGTGACAGAGCTGAGATTAGAACTTAGTGGTTCCCTCTATCTATAATGAATCTGGGGTGACTTGTGCCTCAGTTTCCCCACCTGATCCAGGAGGAGCAGTGCCCAGTGCAAAGTGAAAATGTGAGGCTCCTTGTTGAAAAAGCAGGAACAGAGCTTCTCCTCTTTCGTGGCCTGTCAGTCCATCCTAGTGGTCTAATATTTGCCACTTAACATAGCAGTCCTCAGGCACTGGGAGACTGGCAGGTGGGTGCAGACCCTCACGGGCTAGATGCCATACCAGGGGTTCCCAGTACTGACAAGGTCACAGGAGGATATTCTGGAAGGCTCCTTGATAGCCCAGCTGGTAAAGAATCTGCCTGCAATGCAGGAGACCCCATTTCGATTCCTGGGTCAGGATATTTTCCAGGAGGGAAAAGATCCCAGAAGGGATAGTCTACCCACTCCAGTATTCTTGGGCTTCCCTTGTGGCTCAGCTGGTAAAGACTCCGCCTGCAGTGCAGGACACATGGGTTTGATCCCTGGGTTGGGAAGATCCCCTGGAGAAGGAAAGGCTACCCACTCCAGTATTCTGGCCTAGAGAATTCCATGAACTGTATAGTCCATGGGGTCATAAAGAGTCAGACACGACTGAGCAACTTTCACTTCACTTCACTTCCAATCTGCATAACGTTTGCCTGCATCAGTGAGGCCCTCCTCCCCACCCTCTAGAGGCTGTGAACAGGAACAGAAGCAACCTCTGCTGGTCCCAGCGTCCCACTGAAAGGCGGTTGGAGTGGGCAGTGCCCTCAAGCCACAGCACGGGTTATAGCCCAAGCCACAGCCACCCCCTCCCGTGTTTCCGTGTGAACCGACTAGAACCAGGAGCTCAGAGAGGTGACGCAAGTTGTCCAGGGACGCTGCAAACCTAGGACCTGTAACCAGGTTCCTGCAGCCAGGAGGGCTCTCCCAGAAGAGCCAGGGAGGAGGAGGGGGCGTGTGAGCCTGGAACCCAGGGACCTTTAGGGGCCTAGAAACTCCAGTTGGCTGCAGGCAAGTCTGGGGGTTCCCAGCCTCCTTCCAGGGCCCCCCTCCCAGAGTGGACATCTCCCCTCTCTCGGCAGGTGCTCAGGGCTCTCAAGTCTCCAGTCGCACTGTCTTCTCTAGTCCAAACCGCCCCTGCCAACCCGGCCAGGGCCCTATCAAACAGCCCCTCCCCACACCCCAGGGCCAGAATGGCTGCCAGGTGTTGCGCTGATCAGGCAAAATCCCCAGACCTTCCTGCCTGGGCCTTCCCAAGAGCATGCGCAGAGACAAGGAGCCGGGTCTGAGAAGTGAAACCTCAGCTCGGAAGCTGGGTTGCAGCGTCACAGAATCCAGTCTCTATTTTAGTGCGAATCACAGTACTTAGCTACCCTGTCCTGAACATTTGCCATGAGTCAGGGACTGGACCAAGAGGTGGATGTATACCACCTGTCTGATTTGATCTTTATGATAACCCCAGATGGGAATGAGATGGGACACAGACTATCCCCCCACCCCTTCATTACCATACCCTCTGCCCCCAGCCCACACCCCCTCATCCTGATGAGATCCCATCTCAGAGGCTTTGCGCAGAGGGCTACTCACTTCAAGGACTGCAGAGAACCCAGTCCTGGGAGCAGCCGAGCCAGCAGGGCCACACCTTCATCCCCCAGAGCATTGCCTGATAAGCTGGGAGGGGTGATGGGGAGGACAAGTCAGTGGAGGGTGGCAGGGGTAGAGATGGCAAAATTTCAAGTCTCCACCCCTGCTACTCAGCCACTTAATGTCTCCCAGAACTGGGATACGGTCCTGGGCTGCCAGGCTGGATCTCAGCACCCAGCACGGGGTCAGGTGGGGTACCCCCCGCCAGGGGTTCTCATCCTCAGGTTTGTGACCCCTAAGGGATAGAGTTGGGCTTCAGAGTGTCAAATGTGGAGGAGGGGGCTATATTTTAGGGGGATGAGTCACAACTTTGACCAGGTTCTCTAAGGGGATGCAGCAAGGAACACACACATGATCTAAATCATAAGAAACAAAAAAACCCGCACTACACTAACACCTACCAAGTGATGGCCCCACCCACCCACCCGCCAGCCGCAACCACTTACTCAAGGTGACCGAGGCAGCAACTTCCTCCCAGCACTTTGCAGAGCAGCTCCAGGCGCTGGGATTGCAGGGCACAGTGCGTCAGCCTGCACAGATGCAGAACCACAGCCCTGCAGCGCTTTCACCGCTCGGCAGAGAGGCCAGAGCGGCCCGCTGCCCCCAGACACACAGGCGGAGGGGCTGGCGGAAGGGTGTATCTGGCACCCAGACAGACCAAGAGGGACCGACACACAGCACACACAGGATGTCACACGGGCACATAAGAGTCAAGAGTCAGCAGGTGTGCTAAGCTGCTTCGTGTCTGACTCTCTGTGACCCCATGGACTCTAGCCCTCCAGGCTCCTCTGTCCATGGGGATTCTCCAGGCAAGAATACTGGAGTGGGTTGCTACGCCCTCCTCCAGGGGATCCTCCCAACCCAGGGGTTGAACCAGGTCTCCTGCATTGGCAGGTCGATTCTTTATCCCTGAGCCACCAGGAAAGACACACAGACAAGAGAGGGAGAGGAGAGGCAGAGAGATTGAGAGACAGACTGATGGCCAGAGGAGGACAGACCGAAAGGGAAATTCGGATGGACACAGACTCAGAGAGAAGGCTGGAAGAGTTGAGATGGGAGCCCTGTGGGGCTGAGCTGAGCCCCCAGGCCTAGACCCCTGAATCAGGAAAGAAGGGGCTAGGTGCTACCCATTCTCTGCATCCAGAGTTCCCATAAGTCCTCAGCTACTGGAGGTCTGGGGGGCTAACAGGGGTGGGGACCTTGGGCAGGGAAGGTGACTGAGGGGCTGTCCTGTGAGCCCCATGTGGGGTGGGCTGGGCAGGGGAGGCGACAGGCAGGAAAACCAGGTCATGACAGCAGGTCATGTCCTCTGGGACCACCTAGGGCTGGGGCTCGGGGACAGACTCTGCACCCAGGAAGGGAGGAGGCTGGAGCCACGGAGGAGCCTGCAGGCCATCACGGTGGTACCTGATCCTCGGGGAGCGCAGGGACGGCTCAGAGGGCATCTGGAACATAAGGCTGTCAGGAAATGTAGCCCTGGAAGGACACACACCAAGGCCAGTCTCAGCAAACACATTACCCACTGTCTCAAACTCCAACCTCAGTGCCACTCCCCACCATTCAGTCCCTATATGAGGCCTGGGGACAGCCAGACCTTGGTTTCAACATGTCCTCTTGACTTCCTGGCTGGGGGGCCTGGGACAAATCACTCAGCCTGGCACCAGAAGAATATAAGTGAATTGCCTTAGTTTGCTGCCTGGTGCATAGTGAGTACTCATTTAACCTTGGCTCTTAGTATCTTTGATCTCATCACCATCAGTGCCTTCAAAGATGTCAGCCTCAGCGGCAAGCAAGCCGTCAAAAGCTCACATCCTACAGAAAAAGACTGTAGTCGAACACTGAGCTGAGTCTCTGCCTGTGTGTTGGGCTGGGGCAAACCCAGGAAGGAATCCTAGAGGAGGCAAACACCCTCTAAACGGTCCTTGCACCAAAGGGAGCCCAAAGTTCTGACCAAAATCAGAGCTACAGGCCAGGGGGTCCTCAGTTTAGGCTGAAGGGCCTCGGTCTCCCACGAGGAGCTCTCTGGCTACTCCACCCCTGTCCCAGTCTGCATCTGGCACCCTAGGGCTCTCTTCAGGTACCACTTTGGGAAAGGCTCTTCATTCTTTGAGCCTCCCCTTTTGGGTAGCATCCCAGCCGAGCCTGCTGACTTCCTGCACCTTCGTGAATTTGTCATCCCCACCCGCCACCGCTGAGTTGCACAGTCCAGCTGCGGAGGTCAAGGAGGGGACGGTCGGGGACGAGGGCTGGGCTGGGATGTTGTCAGGGCCATACCTCTTCTGGATCCCCTCCTGCTCCTCCTGCTCAGGGGCAAACGTGAAGACCACAGTTTTGTGCAGCAGGCTGCAGAGAGAAGAGGGGAGGGAGGAGGCAGGAGGTTTACGGGGCTCCCTGAAGCGCTGCGTCATTTTTTCAGCTGGGCCTCTAAGGGGTCACCCCCGCTGCCTCTAGGTGCAGCACTTCCTCTGATTTGCCCTAACGTCCTCTGAGCTTCCTGGGGGCCTGGAGTCTTTCTACTGCAGAAATTTCACAAAGGTATGGGCCTCGTTTCCTGGTAAGTCTTTTCTTTCTCTGAAATCAAACTTCAGCTCTGCTTTCTCTCTGCCTCAGGCTGAAATCTCTCTCCCTCCTTCCTGTTCCTCTGTGCCCAGAGGCTGCGGGTGCTTGGCCACAGGTGGGGAGGCCACTGCCAGGCCTGGATGGGCACTGGGAGTCCATGGGAGGGTGTGACTGACAGTCAGCACAGCCCTAACCTCGCCTTCCCAACTGAATGTTATAGACACTGGGTTGGCCCAAAAATTCATTCGGGAATTTCCATGTAATGGAAAAACATGCATGAACTTTTGGGCCAACCCAATATATTTCCAATTACAAAAGTCATACTTCTTCCCTCTGGAGAACTTAGAAAACATAAGAGTAAAGTAAAAAGAAAATAAAGAGAAATCACCCACAATCTCTTCCACATGTCAGTTACCACTGATGGTATTAATAACATGTGGAGTGGGCCCTTCAAGTCTTTTCTCTTCTTAATGCAGCTAACAGTCTTTCTTTTTCTTTCTTAAACAATGGATATATTTAATGGTTCTCTTTTAAAAATTAATACTTCAAAAGACAGATGAAGCAAGGGTTACATGATGTTGACAGTTATTGGTGGGAGCTGGGGAGTTCATTATACTATTCTCCCTTTCAGTGTGATTGAAAAGCTTTATTATATAAACAATGAATTAAAATTTTTATGTTTACTTAATAGGCCACAGTCTTCCCTGTGCACTAAAGCTGCAGCTGTATCATGGTTCCCTCGAGTTCTCTCTGGAGGCAACTTAGTCTATTTAACTAATAGCACTAATATCCTATTGTTAAAGATTTAAGTCATTTTCAGTTTTTCCAATTACAACCAAGACAGAGATGAACACCCCTGCAGGACTAAGTGTTAGCACGATCATGGTGACCTCTTCATTATAAATCCCTAGAAGTGAATGGAGTAACATTTGCAACACCATAGGGGCCTTTACTCAATTATTATATACAGCGAACCAGGGTCCCCTAATCCACCTCTTGGGTAAACTTGGTCTCCCTTTCCTCCTTTGAGGAGTGTTAAAAGCAGGGCCTCCCAGCTAAGTTGAGAGCCCCTATGGGTGGGGACCATGTTGACGTTTATTAACATCTGTCCTCAGCTGCCCAGATTGAACACAGAGACTTACAGAAATAAGGTTGGGCCCCCTTAGAAGCGGAGTCCCTTGGTCACCGTGTACATGATGTACTGAGGGTCTGATCTCGGGAGAAATCAACAAGTGGCAGAGGGAAGCGTAACAGGGCAGATCCTCAGCCAGATCCCTTGGGGTGCAAAAATAGTACTAAAAGTTTGCCCCACCTGAGGCAAGGGGGCTGGTAAGTTACACCTCTGCCTCCATCATCGGCTATTCCTGGTTGGAGGGATAGGGTGGAGGTGTACCCTCCCAGGCATCACTGGATCTTATCTGCCCGGGTCCGTTTTCCAGAAGACGTATAAACTGTGAGCGGCCAAAACCTTTAGTAGCTGGGAACGGGCGCCCAGCTGTAAAGGGGGTCTGGGCAGGCAGCAGCAGCTTCTTCTATCGGACCCAAAGGCCCATCGCCAGAAAGAATGCCGAACATTTAGAGAGGGATGACGGGACAGTCTGGGAGCTCCACGCTGTGGGTGGCAGTGGGTGATGGTGGTCCACTGGGAGTTCCTACCTGATATGTAGCTCTGTCAGGGTTTGGCACATGCTCACCACACTCAGCATACCCAGCACCCCGGCCACAGAAAGCCCATTGTCGCTGAGGCTGTGGGCAGGAGGAGGGAGGCAGCCATCAGCAGGTGGCTGGAGTCCCCGGCCCCAGACAGCTCCAGCCCCCTCCTCCTGGCTCAGCAGCTGTCACTCTTGGAATGGAATGTCCTGGGTTCCTAACCAAGGGGCCTCAAAGGCTTCTGGCCCAGGTGAATGAGTCAAGAGGCATGTGGCCCCCTGCCCCACATGGAGAATAAAGTTCTCCAGCTGGAGCAATAAGTGCTGACTTACTGTTTTTGCCTCTCTGATCCTCAGTTTTCCGATCTGAAAAATAACCACCATTTTAATCCCATTTTTATCAATGGGGGAAACTGAGGCCAAGAAATACTAAGTTCCTTTCCCAGGATCACAGAGCTACTGAGTGACAGAGCCAGGGTCTAAATCCAAGGCCAAGAATCCACATCCCTGTTAACCTCAACACCGCCCCCCAACATAACTCACACTTGATGCTAAGAATCCAACACATCCCACCCAAACAGCACCCTACCCCATACCATACATCACGACAGCACATCCAATAGCCCACTACCCTTTCTTTTCATCCCACCATCACCACAACCCATCCTTTCAACCCCAAACCATATCCCCACCCTAACATACTACTTTCCACTCCAACATCCCAACCCAACACACCAGGACCCATCCACCCAATACCCTAAAGCTGCGCCAATAAAACACTGCACCCCACCCACCACGGGGCGGCTGTCAGGGCAAACTGGAACACAAGCTACCGATGTACACTGAACATGCTCTACACGTACAAGGGGTTTTCATAATGGGACCTAGGTGGCGCATGCCAGAGGCAAGAGCAAGACATGGCTGAACCATTCCAGCTACACTGGAGCTGGGAGAAAGCATGGGAAGTCATAGAGCAGCATCATTTCTGGCGACTGTGGGCATGGGGATCAGGGGTGGCAGGGACCAGCTGGGGCTCTGCTGGGCCCTCCCTGGTACCCGAGAATGGGGCAGGCAACTCACTTCAGCTTCTTCGTGATGTGCAGTTGAGGAGCAGCCTCTGCCATCAGTTGACAGCCTTCATCTTTGAGCTGGTTCCCTGAGAGGCTGAGACAGAGGGGTCTGATGTCCTGTGCAGCTAGGGTGGGGTGCCCCCTCGACCCTCAGCATTCACACAGTCCCTCAATGACTTTAGTTAAAGCATCACTCCAATAAATGAGACTGAGTTAAAAAGAACATTGAGAGATTGTGTACTATATGCCTGAAACTGTCCTAGGTGCTTTCACAATGTTTGGATGTTTAATCCTCATAACAACCCTGTGAAGTAGGCACTATTATTATCCTCACTTTACTGATGAGTAAACTGGCTTCCAGAGTGGTTGAAATATTCGATCTAAGTTGGACCTGGGATTTGATCTTGGGCAGCCTGACTTCAAGGCCCCCCCCTCAACTGTTTCCTTATGCTACAACCTACATAATTACTTCTTGTGATGAGCTCCATGCTTATAGGGGGATCTGAGCTAATCTGGGGAAAAGAGAAGACTTCCCTGATGTTTGAGCTACTTGCTTGAAAAACTAGGAGTTCAATAGGTAAGGGGTGGGGGAGCGATGGGGGAAGGGGGTTCCTGGTAGCAGGGAGAACACAGTCAAAGACCCTGTGGCATAGCACATTCAAGGACCTGAAAAAGAGCCAGTATGTCCAGGTTAAAGATTGAGTGGGGGCTTCCCTGGTGGCTCAGTGGTAAAGAATCTGCCTGACAATGCAGGAGACATGGGTTTGATCCCTGGTCTGGGAAGATCCCACAAGCTGCGGAACAACTAAGCCCGGGCACCATAATTATCGGGTCTGTGCTCTAGAGCCTGGGAACTGCAACTACTGAAGCCTGCCTGCCTAGAGCCTGTGCTCTGCAACAAGAAAAGCCACTGCTATGAGAAGCCCATGCACTGCAACTAGAGAGTAGTCTGCCACTTGCGGCAACTAGAGAAAAGCCTAGTTGAAAAAAAAGCTGCAACTAGAAAAGCCTAGAGAAAAGCCTAGAAAAGTGCAGCAAGGAAGACCCGGCACAGCCACAAAAAAGTAAATAAACAAATTAAACAAAGAAATAAATAAGTAAGATTGAGTGGGAAAGTGGGGTCAGATGGGCTTGTGGGGTTGCGGGCTGATTCTGGGTCATACACTATTTGAGGATTTGGGCTTTACCCTGAGCAAGGGGAAGGGGCAGGCAGCAATAAAAGGCAGTTCACTGCCAGGTGGAGGTGGCCAGGATGGCGGCAGGGAACCTAGTGAGGAGGCATCCACGTGGAAGATGAGAGTGGTTTAGATTAGGGAGGTGGATGAAGAGGAGAAAAGAGAATAGTCATGTCATGCCACATGTAGGATCTTAGTCCCAGATTATGTGGGGCCTTAGCTCTCCTATCAGGGATCAAACTCATTCCCCCTCCAGTGGAAGCGTGGAGTCTTAACCACTGGACCATCGGGAAAGTCCCAAGAGAATGTCCCAAGGGAACTGTATGGGGGAAGGACGACTCAGGATAGACTGGCTATAGGAGGAAGGCAAGGGGGCTGAGAGGTTGTCTGATCTGTGTAACCAGGTGGGTGATGAGGCCCCCCTGCAGGTAAGAACACTGGGGGAGGGACAGGCTTGATGGTGGCTGGTGGAGGCTGGTGAGAGCTGGGTGGAAGTATGTGAGTTTGGTAAAAACCAGCTTTTAAGCCTGTCTTGGTTCTTGCAATGGGACAACATCAAGGCTGAAACTTTGATCATCAAGGCTGCCTTCACCCCATCTTGCCCCATCCCAACTTCAAGCCCATTTGACTTTTTGGGATGATCCTGGCAGGGGTCCCTTCCTGGTGACATTGTCAGGACCTCCACTGATCCCCAAACCACACTCTCAAAGGCATCACCCAGGAGCTGGACATCCTGAGAATTTTCTCCACTCCCAAAAGATCATCTCATGTTACTCTGGGAGGAAGACAGGGTGAGGGGACCCTGAGGGTTGTGGTGTAGAAGATAAGACCTAACTGTCATGAGCTTTCTGCTTTGCAGATCTCTGTGAGGATAAGGACAGGAGTCAGACTGAGCCTGAACCCTGGCCTGGAGTCTTCCTAGCTTTGTGACCATGAGCAAATTTACCTTTCTGTGGCTAAATTTCCTCCATTATAAAATTCCCACAGTAGCAGTACTTAACATCATAGAGATATAAGGATTAAATGAGAGGATGTATGTAAAAGTGCCTGGTACATGATAGGTGCTAAATAATGGTAGCCATTCTGATGATCTGATTCCCCCAAATTCTTAATGAGGAGCATGCCCTTCCCCACACCATCCACCCAAAAGGCCTTGCCTGCGCTGCACTGCCCTCCCCTTCCATCTCCTGTCCCAGTGCTCCCCATGATACTCACTCCACTTCATCCAGTTGTGGGCCTTCCCGCAGCTGGGCTATGAGCACCTCCACATCATGGACCCCAAGCTGACACTTCTGGAGCCTGAAGTAAGGGTCAGAGCGGAGAAGCTCAAGGTCAGAAGCTACACTATGGCTCCTGTAGCTCTGAGTATGGCTGCCGGGAGCTGGAGGAGCCAGGAGGCTGGCAGACCTGGGTCTAATCTTGGCCCTGTTTTTCAGTAGCCAAGTGACCTTAGACAAGGCACCTAACCTGTCTGAGACTCAGTTTCCTTCTCTACCAAATGGGGCTAATAACGTGTACTTTGCAGGGTTTTCAAAACAATTAAAATGAGGTAATGGATATAAAATATTACAGTGCCAAACACAAAGCAAAGGGCTGTTGAATAACAGATTTTAGTGTTGTTCTTATGACAGATGCTCCTGGTTCAGGCCAGGATGGCTTATTCATATCCTTTCCCTGCCACACATCTGCTTTTCCCTTTATCTTCCCTGCCCCTGCCATGCCTCCTCTGGGAAGGTACCATCTTCCCCAACATATCCCTCCCCTCAAGGCAATGGGTCCCACCAAGGTACCTGAGTGCCAGGCATCTCCTCTGAGCCTCTTTCCTCTGGTTGGCATTTCCCTGTAAGTCTGGGTCTCTGGCAAGAACAAATCCAACATTGGCTCAGGAGACCCAGGCATGATGGACCAAACCTCTTCCCTTAGTTTCTAGGAAATGATAACCCTACAGCATGACCCACAGTCAATGAGTAACAAAGACGGTTGCTTGAAAGTATTGAAGGTGCTATTAAACAAAGCAGCAGAAAACAAGGTCTGTAGTCAATTGGGACCTTGATTCAAATTCTGGTTCTGACATATTTAGCTGTGTGGCCTTGGGCAAGTCACTTCATCCATCTGAGCCCCCATTTTCTTTTTTCTAAAGTGGGATGACAACATCCAACACATAAAATGATTGAAGGGTTGAATGAGACAATGTATCGTCGAGTGTCCAGCATAGGCATAAAACTGAAGCTTAGTAGAAAGAAGCTGTTATTGTTCAAGATGTGATAGTCTTCACTTGTACTATCTGTGGTTCAGAAGGCTGGGAGCATGGATGGTACATAGGTGCAGATGGTGGGAAACCAAGAAACTACTGGGGGCTGCAGGGAAGCTGGGGCATCATAGGTTTTCACCAACTTGTAGAGTGGTGCTGTCCAAAAGAACTTTCTACAATGACAGAAATGTTTTCTATTTGTGGCATCCACTATAGGAGCCACTAGAGTCACTCATGGCCATTGAGCCCTTGAACAGTGGCTAAAGTGCCAATGAACTGAAATGTTCATTTTACTTAATGCTAATTAAAATAAAATTAAATAGCCAGAGGGGCATCATAGCTCTATGCAGTCAGAGGGTAAAAACATATTGGTCCTCCCAGATCCTTCTGAAAAAAGTGAAAGTGCTAATCGCTCAGTTGTGTCTGCCTCTTTACAACTCCCTGGACTACAGGCCACTAGGCTCCTCTGCCCATGAATTTTTCCAGGCAAGAATACTGGAGTGGGTAGCTATGCCCTTCTCCAGGGGATCTTCCCAAATCAGGGGCCAAACCTGGGTCTCCTGCATTGCAGGCAGATTCTTTACCATCTGAGCCATCAGGGAAGTACCCCAGATCCTTGAATAGGTGAGCAAATTGAGGCTCAGAGCCTTATGAGGACATACAACTTCATTCATCTCTTGAGTCTCACAAGGGGGAGGTGTGAGAAAAACACACACACAAAAATTTAATGGGATGGTAACTTCCCTATTTCTGCCCAGCCAGGAATGGCCAAGCTGGAATCCATGAACAGCTGAAACAGCCAGCATTTGCATGGCAACTGGATGCCAGCAGTGTTCTAAGCACTTTAAATGTGTTAATTTATTCAATTCTCAGAACAAGTCTAAGATGCTGAAACCATAATTGCTTTCCTTCTTTTTCAGTTGGAAGTGTTTCCCTGCCTAGTAATGCCAAGCTCACTGTGTCCAGAGACACCAGAGAAAGCTAAATCCTTGGCCAACTCTGAGAAGTAAGTCATTTCTCAGGGAAGCAGTAGCGAGAAAACCCCCCACATTCCAGTTCTTCTTAAGTTTTTTTTTTGCAATTTTCCCCACAGCTGCCTAAGCCCAGATTGCTTCTCAGAATGAGCCCAGACCTGCTCCATCCCCAGCTTCTTACCCTTGTAGCTCAGCAGCTGTCTCTGTGGGTGGGGAGAGGAGGAAGATGAGGTCCGTCTCCCTGCAAGGTCAGACACGGAGCTGTGGAACCAGTACATCACCCCCACCTGTGCACCCCAGGCTGCCCCAAACATCCAGAGAAAGCTGATTTGTAATTCACAGAGAAACAGCAGAACTGGCGAAAGTGCTCAAACTCAGACATGTACAATTGTGACTATGTCATTGCTAGATGAATCCTGAGTGTTTTAAAAAGCCAGGAAAACACTTTTTCTTTTTTTTTGCTAGAAAAACAATAAAAACTAGGACTGCGGAGAGTTTCTACAGGAGTCACAGTTTCAGGATCAAGAGGCATGACATTTGATCTACCCTGTGACCCAAACTGGCAATGCTATTTCAGCACCACGGAGAGCGACATGAGCCTCAGGATTACTTCCACTCTACCAGTTGTTCCTAGATTTCGTGATTCATTCCCTCATTCATCCACCCATCCATCTATTTATCTTTCCATTCATTCACTATTTATTGAGTATGAGGTGCCAGCCTGAGTTAGGCTCTGGAGATATCAATGTGAGTAAAACAGACTCACGCATACACACATAGGTCTTAAAGACCAGTGGCTGCCTCCTTTTCCCATCCCCTACTTTCTCCTCCCCTTTTTTCAAGACCCTGAAGGCCAGGACCCCAGTCTTGCTCACCTGACCTGGAGCATCCTGACGGTAGGGCACGTGACCGCCACCTTTGTCAAGGAGAGTAGTGTTGACACGGAGACACTGTTGCGGCTCAGGCTGCATGATTGTGGCAAAGGTGCCAGGAATGAATCCCCCTTCCCATCCACCCCAGACTCTCTCTGTCTCCAAAGAATGGGTGGGTGGGGGCAGGGTGTCTTAGGCAGGGGCAGTAGAAAGACAGCTTACTCAAGTTTCTGGAGCTGTGGTAGGCGAGAGAGTACCTTCACGATGTCCAGTACTTCCCTGTCCTTGAGCTGGTTGTCCTGGAAGCTACAGAGAGACCAAGGCCCAGTCCCTCAGCCCTGGAGTTGGGAGACTTGGGAGCCCCAGTTAGCAGGTGACAGGCATGGCCATCATCATGCAAGAGACACAAGACAGGGGCCCACAAGAAGTTCATGGTATCCAGCAGTTCCAGGTGGGAGGAGAGGCCCTCTGATGGCCTCACTTCTGTCCCTGTTCAGTCCCCCTGGGGGAGTTTCTGCCTGGCGGCCCAGGGGATGCAGGTGATGGACACTGAGGTCTCATGAGGAAGGGGTGTAAAGACCCAGGGCCCTGCACTCAGGGCTCTAACTCAGGATCTGCCTGAGACCTGAATTCATCAGGGTCTCTAGGCTCCCAGGTGATGAGCAGACTGGGACACAGAAGAAGTGGCTTCTGGCCTCATCTCTGGTTCTGATTCATCTAGAACCCTCGGTCAAGCACTGTCCTTTCTGACCTCACATTTCCCACCTGTCTGCAACCAGCCCTGCCTGGATTCTGAGCTGGAGGGACAAAAGAGATGAAGAGTGTAAGGGTGGCTCTGTGTGTAACTACTTGGTCAGGACAAAGGATTGGTGACAGTGAACTTGTTGACATTTACTTTTCTTTTGTAATTATTGAGAGTGACCTTCATCTTTTCTCCAATCACCCAGAGTGACTGTGAACAAAGACACCCAGCAGAGGGGGCGGAGTAGAGCTCAGTCCAGCTAATGCTCCTCTCAACAACCAGTGTACCCAGATGCTGGCTGCATCTGCCTGGACAAAGAGGTGACTTCTAAAGCTCATAAAGGTGCCATATAAGGTGGCAGAGGTCCTTCCAGGGAACTGCTGGGGAGGATCCCTGGCCCCACCCTTCTCAGGTCACACATCACAGATACAGGGAGGAGTATATTCGTGCGTATGTGTTTAGATGTGTATGTGGATCTAAGTGTGCAGGCATATTCTGCTGCATGTTTGCATGCAAGTGGGGCATGTACATAAGTGAGCGGGTGAGTTTAAGTGTGTATATACATAACGTGCACTAAAGTGAAGGTATGTGTATGCTTCATGCCTTTATGTGTACCCACCCAGCACCTGCCTACACACTGCCATCCCTTCTTTCAGGGCCACAGAAAGAAGGAAAGTAGCCTCAAAACTCAAGCTCCTTCAAGATGGCCCAAAATATTAGCACTTCTATGGGAGCCTTGAGTTTGGACCCAGTCCCATCTGTTTCTCAGGCTGATGCCTCCTCTCTCTGGGTCTCACTGAAGAAGTACTGGCCAGACTCTAACGGAATACACAGCACCCAGTCCAGGCCCAAGGGGGGCCCTGGGCACTGAATCCTCTCCTCAGCCAGCAAGCCCTCTTGGAGATCACTCACCTGACCTCCTCCAGCTGTGGGCAGAGGGGCAAAGCCTGTACCAGGTGGCTGATGCCTCGAGCAGTGATCTTACTTCCTGCTAACCTACAGGGGAAGCAAAGATGGTGACAGGAATAGGGCTGGGGAAGGGGGTAGGACAGGAATCTGCCCTGTGTAGGACTGAGGGAAGGGAGGGGAGTTTCAAGCATCCCCGGCTGAGGATGCGTCTTGGTTCCAAGGCCTGACTCACCCCAGCTTCTTCAGGCTCCCCATCGTTGGCAAGCTCCTGGAGAGGGCTTCTGCAAAGGCGTCCCCACACTTCCTACTCTTAAAGCTGCCACAGGAAGAGGCAAAGTGGCAGAAGATCAAGGATGGGCAGGGCTTAGAGGAGGTCATCATTTACCCCTCCTCTGAGAGGAGGAATTTAATACAGTAATGGCCGTAGTAGCAGTAATAGTTGTTGTAATTGTTGCAGTAGTAACAAATACATATATGGCAAACACTGCCGACTGTCCACCAAAACCTACCCTCCACTACAGCTGTAACTGTGAACACCGTTTTCCAGACAGAGGTGGTGTTTCCCAGTCTCACCCTGCAGCTCAGTATTGACCATATGACTCCAACTATGTTGTCACCACTGGAATGGGGGTGGAAAGGATGTGCCCTAGTTCCAGGATCAGCTTTAACGCATTGGGCATGACTAATCCATCTTTTCTCTTCACTTTTCCCCCATGCCAGAGCACAGGTGTGTCTGTGACCATGCAAATCAAGATACCCTAGGAGATGATGGAGCAACCATGGAAGGAACCCAGGCTTGTGCATAGTCATAGGAGCTGAGCCATCCCACTGACCTGGACCATTTACTTCTGAGTCTTCTATAAGAACAACAATAATAAAAACTACATTATTTAATCCACTGTATTTGGCCAGGGAAGAGATGGTTTCTTTGTTACTGTACCCTAACCTTTTTTTTTTTTTCTAGCTACTACACATATTGAGCCTTTACTCTGTGCTGGGAATTGTATTAAGTGTTTTTCGTACATTCTCACAACAACCCTTTGTGTTAGGTACAATTACTGATTCATTTGAGGGATAGGGAAACTCAGGTTGCAAGGTTAAAGAACCTGTCCAAACCCAATAGACTGTAATAGCACAGCCTGGATCGGTGTCCCAGCCCATGACTGAGGGAAAGAAAGGGAAAGATTGAATCCAGAAACCATGACTAGAGGACATCTAACTAGAGCCCGGAGTTCCTGGCAAGGCATGGAGCTTCCTCACTGTGTATAAGCTAAAGGGCAGTAAGGAGGGGCCCATCGGTTCTTTATATAATCAATTAATTAATTTGGTCATGCCACGTGGCTTCTGGGATCTTAATTCCCCAACCAGGGACTGAACCCGCGCCCTCGTCATTGAAAGCATGGTGTCCTAAGTGCTGGACAACCGCAGAAGTCCCTGCTGTGATATTCAAGATTCTTGCTCTGCTTCTTTCAGCAGGGGTCTGCTAGACTGGCTGGCCTCCACTCCCCTCGAAGTCGAGTTCTCTCCCAGGGATGTCCCCAGGTCCTCCCCAGAGCTCCCCTGTCCTCACTCTCACCTGAGATTCTCTACCTGCCCACAGCCTGCCAGGGTTTCAGGGCAGCGGGGCTCCAGGGGGCAGCCCTCAAAATCCAGGTAGATGGGGCCATCCCTGTGCCCCAGGATGTTGGTCAGGGAGGCCAGGTCAGCGTAGGTCAGCAGGAAGTTGTGGAAGGGCAGCTGCTGGGGGAGGCTGTGGGCCATGAAGCCGGCCAACTCAGGCTCCTGCGTCTCACCCACACAGTGACACAGCTCGACAACCTTGGGCCCTGTGAGCCGACGGGTGGCCAACTTCCTCAGTGCCTGCAGGACTGCCGCCTGCTTGTCAGCCACCCACTCCTCCTCCTGCTGAGCCAGGAGGCTGAGGAAGGCGCGGCAGGCGTGGGACGCCAGGCCGGCCAGAAAGGTGGGAAGGTGGTCCAACAGGCCCAGCCTGGCTTTGGTCCGCTGCACCCAGCGAGAATGCAGGGTGACATGTTGGCTGAGGGCCTCTCTGTCTACCTGGGGACTGGCCATCAGGTGCAGGGCCGCGAAGAACTCCTGCAGGCTGAGGTGGGAGAAGGCGTAGCCCGTGTCCTGGTGCCCGGGCCCCGTGCACACGCAGAAGGAGGTCAGCAGGCCGAGGGCAGCCCCAAAGGCCAGGGTGGATGCAGGGATGTCTCCTGCAGAGAAGATGACCTTCCCTGACTTCAGGCCACTCAGGGCCACCTCCCCGAGACCCAGCAGGGGCTCAGCAGGCAGGACCCCTCGGGGGTTGAGGGTGAGGAGCATCTGCACATAGTTCTGCGTCATGGTAGGCAGGAGGGCCGCTGACTGGCCTGGAGACCTGTCCGGGAGCAGGTGATGGAGGCAGAGGCAGGCGACTCGGCACAGCGCGGGCACTGCACACAGGCTCCAGAGGTGTCTGTCCGTGCGCAGCTCTGCCAGGGCCGCCTCCTGGGACGGCTGGTCGCTGAAGAAGTGGTTCACGTACTCCTCCACCCGCGGGCCGTCGAAGCCCCACATGTGGACCGTGGCCGCCTCAGTGGGCAGGCAGGCGGGCAGCTTCCCTGGACGGGAGGTGGCCATCACCCAGCAGCCAGGCAGGAGGGTCCCACGGCAGAGACGGGAGAAGAGGGTGAGGGCGGACGCCGGGTCCTCCGGATCTGCGGTCTCGTTGTCGGAGCAGGGCTGGAGGATCTCGTCCAGCCCGTCGAAGATCAGCAGGATTCCGTCTGCGTTCTCCTTCAGGTGCTGGAAGACAGCCTCGGGGCTGGCCTCGGGCCTCAGGTACACATCAAAAAGGAGTTGCGGCAGCGTCAAGGAACCTGTGATCAGGTTGAGCTGGCGGAATTCGAAAAGGAACACTGCCTGGAAGCGGTCCAGCTGACCGTCAGCCCACTTCCGGCAGAGCCGGTGGGCCAGCGTGGTCTTGCCCATGCCCGCCTTCCCCAGAAGCACCCTCACTCTCGGGCCCTTGCTGGCCTTGGTGCTGAAGAGGTCCCGAATGTTCACGAGGGCACCATCTTCTGCCTTGGGGTCCCCTGTCACTGCACCCTCCTGCGTGTGGAAGGGCGCCGAGGCGCGGCTCCATTGCAAGATTGGAGGGACGTAGGCTTGGTGGAAGGCCAACGGCTGCCCCGGCCCGGGGGTCTTGTCGCCATAGCGCTGCTGGGCAGAAGTTCTCAGTAGCTGCAGGTACCTCTTGGCCAACTCTGCAGGGGACAGGGAGATGGCATGAAAGCAGAAGGCTTCTCTGCCCCCAGCTCTTCTTCCTCCCCCCAGCCCCCCTCCCCCTCATCAGGTGGTTGGGATCCTGTAGCCTCAGCTCTGCATGTGTGTGTGGGTGTGAGCGTGGAGACAGCAAGGGCACACAGGTGGTCTTGTGCCACCCAAATTCCCAGAATTAACTGGCTGTACAGAAGCACAGGCTTTGGCTGCTGTTCACACATGGAAATAATGAATGGGGACATGTGGATCATGGCTCTGTTTGTTTTGCAGCAATGCAAGTGGCATAAAGTTTTCAAAAAGATGGGAGAGAGGAAGGGGGGGCACTTCCTTGGCAATATCTTATTGGAACAAACTTTTACAATGATTCCGGAGTAACCTGCCTTTGCCACCACCACTCCCCGCAACATTTCAGTTCTGCGAGGTCGAGGCTGAGCACTAACCACCTACGGGCCCAGGTTCTGACCAATCAGAACTTCTAAAACCGGTCAACACCTACAGTGCCAGGTGTTGACTTGAACTGCTGAGTTATTTGGGAGATCTGGTAACTCAGGGGAGGGCGCAGGGTCACTGCTGAGGGGCACTGGAGATGCCCACAGGGAGGGGGGACCCCTGACATAGTGTCCTGTTTTATACAGATGTGAATCCTCTGACCAGCTGTAAATACTTTGGCTGTGCCTGATGGGGCTGGATATCACAGCTGGTGGGACAGCTGGTGGAGAATGAGAGAAGCTTTTGTCTGTCCTGACTGGTCCTCAGTAGCCTCCACGTCTCCCCAGTGACTCCCAAGGCTTCTATCCCAGCATCCAGCTGAGCCCTAACCCACCTAGGCTTTCAATGAGAGCCTAGTTCTGAGGTCACCCTGGTCACATCCCTGGGGTTCCCTAAACCCTGAGGACCTGGAAGCATCCCCAGAAAAGCCTGGATGATGGAGCTGCAACCTCCAGGATGCTTTGAGCTCCCTCATCTCTGCAGAAGCCCTGCTCCTGGGGGCTTGGCAAGGCCTCCCTGCTAGATCCACCTCCGTCCTCTGCCCATCCAGGACCTCCTGGGAGCCTGGAAGACAAGAGCCCCTGACCAGCTAGAAGCCTGTGATTAGGGGACAGAGTCCAGGGTCTGGGTCCTTGCCCCAAGGCAATCCACTTCCCACCTTGGTACCCACCTTGTTGCAGCTTCCTGAGCTGTTTTGGACGAGGTGAGGACCCACAGCTCTGATGAGGCCGCTTGAGGCCTAGAAGGAAAGAAGGGAGGAGTAAGGGGTGAGGTTTGGGGACCCGGGCTGAGGAGGCGCCCAGCACTTTCAGGGAGCTCCAATCCACAGACAGGCAGCAGCCAGAGAAGTATACCTACACTCAAGGACTGAGTGAAGGCCGACAGCAAGCCAAGGCCGTGTCCACATCAGCTTCTGTCTGCAGCGGGGTCCCTGGGCCCAAGTGAGAGGGCTAGAGGCTCTGGGCCTGGGGACCTCCCAGCCCAGAATGCAGGGAGCCAGGCCCACAGCCAGCAGCCTTAAGCACTAAACGACTTGGAAAGGACCCAGCTCTGTCAAGGGCACTCCTGGTTGGAAAAGTGGAGCTTCCCCCAGGCTTGGTCAGGCGGGTGCCCGCCCTCCTGCCCCATGTGCTTTATTCCCCTTAGTTCCCCTCTTCCACACGTCCCCACTGCTCTTACTAGTCTCATGAGTTCTTGTCTGGGTGCATGGATTTTCAAGAGCTAATAGTTTTCTAAAGAGGTTGGGAAAGGAAGGAGAACAAGAATGAAGGGGAGACAGAAAGGAAGGGAAGAAGAAAGAAAGAGGACGAAGAAATGATTTTAAGAAGTAAAGGAGGGGACTTCCCTGGTGATCCAGTAGTTAGGACTTCACCTTCCAATGCAGGGGGTGCGGGATGGGTCCCTGGTAGGGGAGCTAAGATCTCACAAGACTCAGGACCAAAAAACCAAAATGCAGAAGTAAAGTTGTAACAAACGTAATAGAGACTTCAAAAATGGTCCACATTAAAAAGAAAGTCTAAAATAAAATAAAAGAAGTAAAGGTGGATACTCCTAGAGCCAGGCATTAGTGATCAATCAGACTGGCCCTGAAGCAGGCCCCTTACCCTGCCAGGTGTTAAATTTGTAGTTGCGGATTTGTGGGGAAAGCCAGGGGTCCCAAAGAGGGGCTGCAATCAGTCTAAGAGTGTATGCATACATATATATAGCCAAGTGTGTATACTTGGCTACATTGTGTGGCTTGCAGGATCTTTGTTCCCCAGCCAGGGACTGATCCTGGGCCCTTGTCAGTGAGAGAACAGAGTCCTAACCACTGGACTGCCAGGGAATTCCCTTGTATTTCAATATTTTAATAAGTCTTCCACTAATAAGGGACTCCTTAGCTAAATATCAACCAGACCTAGTTACAGCCAGGTGACAATTATGCCATCTCAGTGATAAGGGACAGAAGGACCAGGTATCAGTTTTGATTTGTTGGGGAGCTAGGATAGGGCTTCCCTGGTGGCTCAGTGGTAAAGAATCAGCCTGTAGTGGAGGGAATGTAAGTTCGATCCCTGGGTTGGGAAGATCCCCTGGAGCAGGGAATGGCACCCCACTCCAGTATTCTTGCCTGGAGAATCCCAAGGACAGAGGAGTCTGATGGGCTATGGTCCAAAAGGATGTTTTCTGTTAAAGCCTGGTGATGTTACCACCATGTACACCTGTAAGTAAAAAGTCAGCACTTCTATAGAAATAAAGGTTCGGAAACCACAGAAACATCATACTCAATGGTCAAAGACGATAAGTTTTTCCTCTAAGATCAGGAAAAAGGTATTCACCACATCTATTCAACATAAAACTGGCAGTTGTAGCCAGAGCAATTAGGTGAGAAAAAGAGATAAGAGACATCCAAATTGAAAAAGAGAAGTAAAATCATCTCTGTTTGCAAATGATAGGATCTTATATGTAGAAAACTCTAAAGACACCACAAAAAAAAGCTGTTAGAACTAATAAGTGAAACCAGCAAAGTAGCAGGAGTAAAAAGTCAACACACAAAAGTTGGCTACATTTCTATACACAAACAATCAGAAAAAAAAAACCACCAAAACAACTCAATTTACAATAGCATCAAAAAGAACCAGTACTTAGGAATTAACTTAACCAAGGAAGTGAAAGATTTGTACAATGACAACTACAAAATGTTGCTGGAAGAAATGAAAGAGGATATAAATAAATGAAACGATATCACATACTCATGGATTCGAAGACTTACTAATGTTGAAAATATCAATACTATCCTCTGGAGCAGAAAATGGCAGCCCCTCCAGTAGCCTGGAGGGCTACAGTTCATGGGGTCCCAAAGAGTCAGACAGGACTGAGTGCCTCTCACATGGCCTGATGGTTGTGCAACAATGTGAATGTGTTTAATACACTGAACTGTACACTTTAAAATGGTTAAGATGGTAAATTTGATGCTATGTAATTGACCATGGTTAAAAAAGAAAGATGGAACAAAAAGGAAAGGAAAGTTCTGAAAAGTGCGGTGAATCAGTGAGATGGACCATCTGATCACTGAGCTCTCTGTGCCCCACCAGAAAACCAGTCAGAGGCTCCCTGGGTGTGGACAGCAGACTATGGGTCAGTGTCAGGCCTGAGGGTGTCCAAATGGTGAGAGGCCTGCATGTGTGGGCTTGGAGCCTGAGGCCCTGAGGTTTGGGGACAGGGAAGTGAGAACGGGCTTCCCCAAGTGAGACCAGGTGGGGGATTCCGGCAGTGGCTAAGGGCTGACAACCTCAAACTTTCCCAGGAGGCTCCAGGTGAGACCCATGGGAAAAGCTATCAGACATGCCAAAGCCTTGAGGGGCAGAAACGGGGTGCAGGCGAGGCTGGGAGCCCTGGTGAGGAGCATGGGAAATGCGCAAATGGGTCTAAGCATGAGGAGGCTAGTTTACGGAAAATGGCTCTGACCAGCCACCACCAGCCTGTTCTGGGTTCGAGGTGGGGGACTTAGCATGCACCCACCCTCCACATCCCACCCCTACTCCCCAACCCCAGGCCTTACCAGGGTGGAGCTGAGAGTCTGATTGGCTTTCCTCGCCAATTTCCAGAAAACTGGGGAAGCCTGAAAGAGGGAAGCAGATGATATGCCATGGGGATGTGTGCGAGGATGCCCTGGGACCAGCTCTGGCCCCATGTCTGGCTCAGGGCTCATCCCTCAGGGGGTGTTCCTAGCAAGCCAGAAATCTACACTTGGCAATCCGTGGAGGGCACAGCTGGCAGTGAGCCCTGAAGGCAGCTGTGGGCAGAAATACGTGCATAACTAAAGGTTTGTGCACATACAAGTATGTGGGTGCATGCACGTGTTCATCATGCCTGTGCACAGGTTCACACCTGTGTATCCACGCCTGTGTACACTGTGCACCCCCGCCTGGCCTGTACTCTGCTGTAGAGTTACTGAGTGAGCTCTCACTTCCTCTCCAAGAACACAATCACTGTTCTGAGCTTCCCCACAGTGCTCTGTAAATGGAAGAGCCCAAGGGACGTTCACTGAACAGGACAGAGTCCAATCAGCCTGCCCCTAAGTGGCGGCCAGAGCGCTCTCCCTAGGACTGTTTTTTTTTTTTTGCAAAAAGAAACCTCTTGGGTAGTATGGGCTATCAGGAATTTCCTGGCAGGAAGGAGTCACCCGGTCCTTTCTCTCTGCATCCTGCCTTTCTGGGCAACTGGGGTGGTACCAGGTGGAAGGAGGAGTCCTCCAGGTCCCCAGCAGACTTGGTGGCATTAGGCATTTGCTCTGAGAGGTGTACAGAAACACGGAAGTTTGTTCCTGGCTTGGCCACACATCTTTGTGTGACCCAGGCAAGTCCTGGCCTTGCCTGGGGCTCTCTGGCTCCCCCGGCTCTGGGCACTAGCTGGCGGCATTGCACCTCCCACGGCCACTCTTACCGTCTTCGTGGCCCCACGTGCTCATCAGCGGCACCTCCATGTCCAGCGGCACATCCTGCTCCATGCACACGCAGTGGATGAATGACTTCCAGGTGGTCGGACCCTGGGTATGCAGCTTTTGGAGTATCAGGATGACCCTCTGTGTGGGGTCTAGGGCCTGATTTCCAGAGCCCAGGTCCACGTTGGGGAGGAGTAACTTCACCTTGGCGTTTAGCCATTCTAGGTCTCTGCTGAGCAGCCTCACGAGACATCCATGCAGGTTCCTGGTGCCCAGTTGGAGACTAATGGGGTCCATGAGGAGCTGACCCTGCAGGGACCAGGTAGGCAGGTGAGCTGCGAAGTAGGTGAGCTGGGGGACAGGTGAGCTGGGGGAAAGCTAGGAGCAGCAGTCAGAAGCCACTCCCCACAGCTAAAGAGAAGAGAAGCGACGGACACAGAAGATAGAGAAGTGGTCTCTCTGTAGTGTCTTGATGCCATTGCCCAGAGCTCAGGCGCAGAAATTAATCTCCTTCTTCTGTATTCTCTGCCAAAATAATTCATGCCTATGTCATGGGTCCGGATGGTTTAGTTCATCCCCTGTGGATGATGCCCTGATAATGCTTTATTTGTTCTTATTTCTATGGACCCATTTGTGCTGCTCTCTGTCTGAGCTAAGTTTTCTCCGGCAGAGACAACTATCTGTCCCCCCATATTTGTTCTTCTCTTCTTTCTTAGTACTAGAACCCCTAAATATTCCCTAGTTATCTGAAATAGACTATTTCCGAGCCTCCCTTGCAGCTAGATATACTCAGGTAATTAAATTCTGGCCAATGAGACGTTGGTGGAAACGTTGTATATCATTCTTAACCTCTTCTTGTTGGCTGGAATGCTGATGTGATGGACAAACCTCGGGCAGCCATATTGGATTGCGAGGTAGAAGCCAGCACTGAGGAAGGTGGAGAGTGAAGCTTTCCTGTCCTGGACTCTCTGACTTTGAATTTCTAATACATGACAAGGAAATTCATTTCTGTTCTGTTTAAAGTACTGTTGCTTAGGCCCTTTTGCTACTCACAGTGAAATATAATCCTAGCTAATACAGACCCTCTCTTCTTTCTAAGCAAATTCTCCCCTTCTAAACTGGAACTCAAACAACTTGCTGGTAGGAGTATTAAAATGAGGCAAGGAGCACTTATTTTGTGAAAGCTTAAAAAGTCTGAAGACCCTTTGATTCAGCAATTACATTTCTAATATGCTGGCCTTGGGACACAATCATGGACTTAAACAGAATTTTTAGTTAAAAAGCTGTGCACTGTAAGAGTATTTTTAACAGTTAAAACCTGGAAGCAACCTAAATATCCAACAGTTAGAGATTAACCGGTTATCCATCACATGGTGGAATATACTAGAACATTTCCAAATGTATTTTCTGGCACTATTGTCTTAAAAATAGAGAGAAATGCTCAGAAAGCATTTACTGTGTGTTAGGCACTGTTTTATGTGCCTTATGTGTCTCATCGAATCCTCACAACTCCAGAGACTTCATTTCCAACCCTGAAAAAGATAGGAGGCCCACGCAGGGACCAGCCTTATCAACTCCCAGACGCTGGGGCCAACACCATGGGTTCTGGGGTTCAGACTCCAGCTTCTCCCTTGACCCCCAGCAGAGACCTAGTGGGCACATGTCCCCAGCTCCTTCTGGTCACCCCTCTTCAACCAAACTAATAGCAACAACTCCTTGCTCAGGCACAGAGTTTGAGACTTCAAGAAATATGCTCACATCTATGGCGTGGGCAGGGATCACTGTCCCCACTCAACAGATGAAAAGGCTAAGCTGGGGATGGGTAAAGGACATACCCGAGATCATCATGTAAGTCCATGGAGGACACATGCTCAGAACTGAGATTTCTTACCTCTCAGGCCAGTTAATTTCCAAGGCTTGGGAACCCTAGGCGGCACCAGACAAGGGATAATCTCTGGCTTCTGTGTGATCTTGGCACAAGGATGAGACCACAGCCTACGGCATGGCTTCTTTTCTGGGCTAGAGTGTCCAAAGTCCACGCGGCCCATAAAGAACTCATCCAGGGCAGCAAGGCGCCAGGCGGAAGTGAGGAGTGCCTGGATGGTATAATTTCTGGGAAAGTCCTTCAAATTCAAATTTCTCCCCCAGCCAGTCTAACATGATGCCTTTGTTTCCACCATGAGTGCTCTGTCCCCTTGGAATAAGACATTAAGCTCTTTAAAAATAACCAGCCCTGGAAGAAAAAACACATTATATCATTATTGGTCATTGTGAAAGTCAGTAGCAAACAGCCTTGGAAACAGAGGATTATAGTAGAAAGATCCTCAGTGAAGGGATGGTCACAGACCTGGCTCCCTGGTTCACCATAGATATTCTAGGATGTCCACAGAGAGGGTCTCCTGAGTTCCTAGGCCAAGTCCTGGAGCTGGGTTTTCAGGTTCTTTCCATAGGATAGGCTCCTAAGAGAGAGGAGACAGACCACTCTATCGTCATTATTCCGCATCCCAAGAGGAATTCTGTAAAGAAGGCACTGACCCTTATTCCTAACTCCTCTGAGGACATCAACCCAGAAACAGCCTTCTCATCTTCATGTACAGATCTTATTCCTTCCCAAGCAAGATTCTTCTTGTCCCTGGACTGGGCACAGCCCAGCCCTCCGCGGTGTCACTTCCAGCCACATCTGGCACAGAGGATGACCCTCTTACGCTGCCAATTTGAATATTCCCCTTATAGTGACTTGTTATGTCACTAAATACCCCTCCAATCCAGTAGATTCATTACAGCTAATTTATTATATGAAGATGGAATAGCCCTTACTAAAGCTGTCAGCCTTCTTTCCTAATAAAAACCTCAAAGAGGTTAGAATGTGCAGTTTTCTCTCTTAATACATCATGAAGAAGTTTCTAAATAACTGAGAGTAAACATCCTTCTTAATGAGAAAACCCAGAGGTACTGATCACTGTCTCACCAAGAGAACAGCAAAATGATGATCATTTTATTAGTTTTATTTTATTAGCTCCTTTATTATAATAACTATAAATGAAGTATGACCTGTAGAAATTGTGAATCACTATGCTGCATAACTGTAATTTATATAATCTTTTATATTAACCATATCTCAATAAAAAATAAAATAAGGACATCCCTGGTGGTACAGTGGATAGGAATCCGCTTGCCAATGCAGGCAATGTGGGTTTGATCCCTGGTCTGGGAAAATTCCACATGCCATGGAGGAACTAAGCCCGTGTGCTACAACTCCTGAGACTGCACTCCAGAACTCCTGAGCCTGAGGGCTGCAACTACTGAAGCCCATAGACTAGAACCTCTGCTCTGCAACAAGAGAAGCCACAGCAATGAGAAACCCACACACCTCGACTAGAGAATAGCCTTGCCCATCACTTTTAGAGAAAGCCCATCACAGCAATGAAGATCCAGCATAACCAAAAATGAAAATAAACAAATAGCGCTTCCCCGGTGGTTCAGTGGTAAAGAATCCGCCTGCCAACGCAGTAGACACAGGTTCAATCCCTGATCTGGGAAAAGCCCACATGCTGTGGGCCACAACCATTGGGCCTGTGCTCTAGAGCCCAGGAGCTGCGACTACTGAGCCCACGTGCCACAACTACTGAAGCCTGCGCTCTGCAACGAGGGAAGCCACAGCAAGGAGAAGCCCGAGCACTGCAACTGGAGCGTAGCCCCCGGCTGCCACAACTCAAGAAAAAAGCCCAAGCAGTAATGAAGACCCAGAACAGCCATACATAAATAAATAAGTATAAAGTAAAATGACGCTGGTACAAACGTCTATGCAACACTGCTTGAATGATCTTGTCCAACAATAAGGAACAGACAAAAGAAAAGATGGCTAAAAAGTACATGGAAGAAGGGAAGAAAGGCAAAAGATCAAAGGATGCACTGATGGAGTATCTAAGCAGTATGAGGAAGGCAACAACAAAGTTCCAGACTTCAGATCAACCCACATCAACAGGGCACATTTTATAGAGAGCCCAGAAACAAACTCACACAGCTACGGTCAGTTAATCTTTGACAAAGGAGGCAAGAATACAATGGGGGAAAGACAGTCTCTTCAGCAAGTGGTACTGAAAAAGCTGGACAATGGTATGTAAATCAATGAAATTGATTTCCACCTCACACCATGCACAGCAATAAACTCAAAATGGCCTAACAATTATACAACATGACACCATAAAACTCCTAGAAGAGAACATAGGCAAAACCTTCTCTGACATAAATAGCACCAATATTTTCTTAGGTCAGTCTCCCAAGGCAATAGAAATAAAACCAAAAATAAACAAATGAGACCTAGTCAAATATACAAGCTTTTGTATAGAAAAGGAAACCATAAACAAAACTAGAAGACAACCTACTGACTGGGAGAAAATATCTGCAAATAATGCAATAGACAAGGGCTTAATTTCCAAAATATACAAACAGCTCATACAACTTGGTAACAAAAGAAACAATTCAATCAAAAAATGGGCAGAAGATCTAAACAGATATTTCTCCAAAGAAGACACATAGATGGCCAACAGGCACATAAAAAGATGTTTATTCAACATTGCTAATTACTAGAGAAATGCAAATCAAGACTATGATGAGGTACCACTTCACATCAGTCAGAATGACCATCATTAAAAAGTCTACAAACAACAAGTGCTGGATAGAGAGTGGAGAAAAGGGAGCCCTCCTACACTGTTGTAAATTGGTGCAGCCAATAAGGAGAACAGTATAGAAATTCTTTAAAAAACTAAAAATAGAGTTACCATGTGATTCAGCAACCCTACTCCTGGACAAAACCCAGACAAAACTATAATTCAAAAAGATACACATACCGCTATGTTCACAGCAGCACTATGTGCAACAGCCAAGACATGAAAACAACCTAAATGTCCATTGACAGATGAATGGTTAAAAGAGTATGTGGTACATATATACAGTGGAATAGTACTCAGCCATAAAAAGAATGAAATGGTGCCCTTGGCAGCAACATGAATTGAACGAGAGATTATCATACTAAGTGAAGTAGGTTATAAAGAGAAAGAGAAACACCATATGATATCACTTATATGTAGAATCTAAAATATGACACAAATGGAACAAAGCAAGAACAGACCCACAGAGAATAGACTTTGGTTGCCAGCGGGGAGGGGCAGTCGGGGAGGGAATGGATTGGGAGTTTGGGATAATCAGATGCAAACTATTATGCATCGAGTAGATAAAAGACAAGTTCCAGATTCTTTACCATTTGAGCCACCAAGGAAGCCCATGTATAGCACAGGGAACTATGTTCAATATCTATAATAAACCATAATTGAAAAGAATATGAAAAATAACACAGACATACGTATAACTGAATCACTTTGTTGTATAGCAGAAATTAACAACACTGTAAGTCAACTATACTTTAATAATATAAATTTTAAGAAAGAAGAGCACGTTCTAATATAACAGAGGTAAGTACTGTACTTGGAAATTAAAAAAAAAAAACCATAGCCAGTTGAAGAGCTATTGGGGTAATAATGGTTTTCTTAAAAAAGAAAACTGTCAGATTATAACAGAAGAAACGAGGAAAAGTATGAACAAATTGAGATAAAGCCTTGCTATGGACTGGATGTTTGTGTTCCCCCAAGATTTATATGACGAAGCTTAAGTCTGCAGTGTAATGGTGTTTGGAGACAGAGACTTTGGGAGGTAATTAGGTCATGAGGATGGAGCCCTCACGATGGAGTCAGTGCCCTTATAAGAAAAGGCAGGAGAGATGTGCTTCCTCTCCCTGCTCACAGCCCTGTGAGGAGGATAATCCGAGGAGGTGGCCATCCCCCAGTCAGGAAGAGGGTCCTTGCCAGACACAGGATCTGCTGGCACCTTGATCTTGGACTTCCCAGCCTCCAGAACTGTGAGAAATCAACGTGTGTTGCATAAGCCATCCAGCCTATGGTATTCTGTTATGACGGCCAGAATTGCTATAACAGACTAAGACAAGCCTGCTTGTGACTACGAAAGTAAAAGAAAGAAAACCTCTAACTTAATAGGCATATTTAAAGCAATGCCTTAAAAACAACACAATAGGATACTTCAGAGAACTTGGTAAAATTATAGTAATGATCATTTAGACAATAATGGCAGCTATGACAACTCTTTGCGTGTCTTAACTATTTCATAAAAAACATTTTGAACTAGAATTAGTAAAGAAAAAAATGAAGGCAATTATATCAGAGACTATTCATTGGGAAAGGCAGGCAATAATGGAGAGACTTCCAAACAAAAGCACCTTATAAAGTAACTGCCATTAAAACCTGATGGTGCCAGATTTAAAACAGAACAAATTGATCTAAGGAATGGAAGAGAGTTTAAATTAGCTTCACACCCATTTAAAATCCACTATTTGATAACTTATATGCAGAGTACATCATAAGAAACGCTGGGCTGGAAGAAGCACAGGCTGGAATCAAGACTGCTGGGAGAAATATCAATAACCACAGATATGAAGATGACACCACCCTTATGGCAGAAAGTGAAGAAGAACTAAAATGCCTCTTGATGAAAGTGAAAGAGGAGAGTGAAACAGTTGGCTTAAAGCTCAATATTCAGAAAACTAAGATCATGGCATCTGGTCCCATCACTTCATGGGAAACAGATGGGGAAACAGTGGAAATAGTGTCAGACTTTATTTTGGGGGGCTCCAAAATCACTGCAGATAGTGATTGCAGCCATGAAATTAAAAGACGCTTACTCCTTGGAAGGAAAGTTATGACCAACCTAGATAGCATATTAAAAAGCACAGACATTACTTTGCCAGCAAACGTCCATCTAGTCAAGGCTATGGTTTTTCCAGGGGTCATGTATGGATGTGAGAGTTGGACTGTGAAGAAAGCTGACCACTGAAGAACTGATGCTTTTGAACTGTGGTGTTGGAGAAGACTCTTGAGAGTCCCTTGTACTGCAAGGAGATCCAACCAGTCCATCCTAAAGGAAATCAGTACTGGGTGTTCACTGGAAGGATTGATGCTGAAGCTGAAACTCCAATACTTTGGCCACCTCATGCGAAGAGCTGACTCATTGGAAAAGACCTTGATGCTGGGAGAGATTGGGGGCAGGAGGAGAAGGGGACGACAGAGGAGGAGATGGCTGGATGGCATCACCGACTCGATGGGCATGAGTTTGAGTAAACTCCGGGAGTTGGTGATGGACAGGGAGGCCTGGCATGCTGCGATTCATGGGGTCGCAAAGAGTCGGACACCACTGAGAGACTGAACTGAACTGAACTGATTGAGAGGGAAAATATGGAAAGATACATAGTATTAAAACACACAGTAATACAAGTATTCTGAATGGAAAGAATTATTATTATTGGCTGTGCCACACTACTTATGGGATCTTAGTTCTCGGACCAGGTATTAAACACAGGCCTTCAACAGTGAGAGTACAGGGTCCTAACCACTGGACCACCTGGGAATTCCCTCTTTTTTTTTTTAAGAATTATTTTTAAATTAAGTAATTAAAGTTTTCTTGTTAAAACCACAACCAGATATCATTTCATACCCCCCTCAAATATCTACAATGAAAGAGAAGATAATACAACTGTTAACGAGGATGTGGAGAAATAGGAACCCTTATATACGGCAGGTGGGAATGCAAAATGGTGCAGCCATTTTGGAGGAGTTTGGCAGTTCTTTAAAACGCTAACTAGAGTTATAACTCAGCAATTTTCTACTCCTAGGTTTATACTCAAGAGAAATGAAATATATACACTTACACAAAAACATATACACAAATGTTTATCATCCCTCATAGCCAAAAAGTGAAAAAAAATCAAAATTTCCATAACTCACAAATGAGTAAGCAAAATATGGTATGTCACTACAACAGAATATTATTTAGCAATAGAAAGGAACAAAATAACATTGAGTTCAACCGCTTCAGTCATGTCCACTGTTTGCGACCCTATGGACTGTAGCCTGCCAGCTCCTCTGTCCATGGGATTCTCCAGGCAAGAATACTGGAGTGGGCTGCCATGCCCTCCTCCAGGGGATCTTTCTGACCCAGGGATCGAACTCGCATCTCCTGCATGTCCTGCAATGCAGACAAATTCTTTACCTCTGAGCCACTATTACATACTACAGGATGGATGAACAGCTAAAACATGCTAAGTGGAAAAAGCTCCAAAGTATACTAGTAAGAGAATTCAACTTTTAAAAGCTATGGCATATGTCTGTTTTAAATGTGCTGTGTGAATCTGCATACAGAGAGACCAACTCTAGGGTTACACAAGAAAACTGGTGACAGGATTATACATGGGGAGTGGATGTGGGGGAAGCAGGCAAAGGAGACCCCTTTACACTGTACAGTTCGCTCTCTGTATCTGTGGATCTGAATCCTCCAGTGTGGAACCCATAGATGAAGTGCTGACTGTACTGTGCCATCTTTTTTTTTTTTTTTTTGATTTTTGGAAAAGTTTTTTTATTCAGTGTTTAAGTAAGATTAAAAACTACAAGATTTTGCTTGCAGCTGATGAGCAAGAAAAGTTAAACCCAAATTATCACCTGGCTGGCTAGTTAAAATGTTCTGACTCAGAGTCAGATTACTCAGTGACATAACAGTTACCTTGTGTTGGCTTAGGGATTTGGAGCAAAACAGCCCTAAACAAATGTATCATCTGAGAGCATAGGGCTAAAATGGGCGTATGAAATACTGAATAAGAAAGCTGATAAAGCGAGGCTGTCACAGACTTTTTTTTTAGGCTTCTAGCAGTTGGTTACCATATACAAGGACCTAGCAGCCAGTTGTCTGATCTCTTAACTTGTCTGAGTTAAACAACTTTAACCCACTAAGCAGGAATAGAGAGACACTTTGTAGATGAGTTGGAACACATAAAGCAGTCCCACTTCTCCAGCAGAATTTTAGCTCAATTAAATCATAAGAGAAACAATGATTTTTGCACATATTGTACTTGTCACACTACATCTGTTGAGTAGAATTCCCATTCCAAGTGTTGTTTTCATCTTCACCATCGTCTTGAGTCCTCAATCTATATATCTTGCCTTCCTTTTTAAAGTCTTCCCCCCGTTTCTCCAGCACTCTTTCTGACTGGTTCCCTTTTTTCTGAGTTGCTAGACGAAGCAAGGTTTGAGGTTTCCAGTGATGCTGCTCTCACTGAGGTCTGTGCAGGAGGAGGATTACTAAATAAGAAGTTGCTTATCAGTCTCCAGATGGCAAGGAATGGGTAAAGCACTGTCCCCAACAATGTCCAAAAGTCTCCACTGGAAGAATGTACCATGGATGTAGTTGGTCTTCCTGCTGGCAACAGTACCACTGAAGCACTTGGAGCAAGTTCCAAATCCAATAATTTCTTTTTATAATCTTCTTTGGTAAATTCCCTCCTGGGAAACATTGTTGCTAATGAAAAGTTACCGTAAGTGTTGCCAACAGTCTGTGCAGCAAACTGCCTTGCTTCCTCTAGAGGAGCATCAGAAGGGAACTGATTTGTAAAGGAAGAACCATCTGGAAGACGGAACTGAATTCTCTCAACAGTGCTTCTCTCTTTTGTGGAAGTGTCTCTCCTGACTTCCATCTCTGCCTGTTTGGCCAGCAGGGCGGCAGCTTTAGCAGCTTCTACCTCTTCCTTCGTCTTTGCAAACCGAGCAGCTCTCTCTGCACGGTCCAGAGCAATCTGCTGTTTTATACGCTCTCGAGCTGCCCTATCTTCTGCCTTTTCTCTATTTCTTTCCTCTAACATTCTTTTTGTTAATTCTTCTTCTTGCTTTCTTTTATAATCCAACATTTCTTTTCCAGTTTTCCTCCTCTCAATTTCCTTCTTAATCTCCCTCTGTTCTTCCTCTTTCCTTTTCTCTTCTCTCCTTTCTTCAAGTTTTTTGGTTAGTCTTTCCACTCTGACGGTGAGGTCTTCAGTAGGTCTCTGATTTGAACATCCACTAGGCTCTTGAGACACAGTGGTCTGGCCTGAACTTTCTCCTCCTGTTGCAGAATCTGACTTTGTATCAGAAGAGGATGGTGTCTCACAGAGCTCTACACTTCTGGACTGACAGTTTTCAGAAGTATTGTTATGTTCAAATGAGGCAGATGGAGTAGAGACTGAACCTTCTGATTGGCTGCCATTGGCCAATGATGCATCACCTTTTAATGAATGCATCTGCCGGACTTTGTGGATTCTGGTAACAAGTTCATCTGCAGAAATACTTCCTGCTATTACTTCCAAAGGAATTCCACTGTCTCCAATAAAAAAACTGGATGGAACACACACTACAGGATAGATCTGTGAAAATTGTAGGCAGGCTTCACTTTTGGTATCGATTTTAATAGCAACAAAACTGTTTGAAGATGCTTCTGTCACTTTCTCATCTTCCCAACTTGCAGCCATTTGTGTAGACTGCTCATCATCACCTGCCACGAACACCACGAAGACTGCGCCGCTCCTCTTGGCCGACGCGATGGCGGCCGGAATGGCGCCCTGGAACCACAGCATCGCTGCCCACGGGCCGAGGCGCTCGCTCGGTGTGTTGTCGCCGCGGTCCCGGAGTTGGCCCCGCCCTCTCCGTGGCCTGGCTCCGCGGCCCCGGCAGCCCCAGTCGGTCCGCACCCCGCCTCCCGCTCTGCACAGGCGCTCAAGCCCGTCAGCGGCCCACTGTGTGCCATCTTATATAAAGGACTAGAGCATCTGAGGATAGGGACACTGAGGGCCACCCATACTCTTTGGACCACTGTGTACATTAAAACTTTTCAACAGGTACAATTGTTTCAAAGCCATAAAATGTTCATATTAAAAACTAGGGTTCGATCCCTGGGTCAGGCAGATTCCCTAGAAAATGCGTTACCTCTAAGAATCACCAATTCCTGGGACATGGGGCTCAGAGAGAGGTAATGAAAAGCCAGCATCACACAGTAAGATTCCCAAGGGAATCCAGGCATGTGGGTTTGCGGTCCCATGCTCCTGCCACTCCAGTCCAGGTCCAGACAGCAAGAGGGAAAAAGGTAGGGGGCCTTGTCGGGGCGCCAGTCTCACTGAGGGGTGGGCATAGGAGGCTTGACCAGAGGGGAGCTCCATTCTGGCTTCAATTTTAAGTGGCCAGCCCCTTCCGTCGCCCTCATCACTGTGTTCTTGGGGAATCTCTCTTGCTATCCAGGGCATGCCACGCAGCGGAAGGTTAGGGGAGCCAGTTCCTTCACCCAATCCTTTGCTCTTGCTGCTCCCTATGCCTGGAGACACCCCCCCCCCAACCTCCAGTCCACACTCATGCACATGTGCACACACACCAACACGCACTCCTCTGGCCGGAGTCATCTCTAAAACTCAGCTCTGGTCTGGTCTCATTTCTGTCTAAACCTCCTACAGTTTCCCGTCACCTGCAAGATGCAGTGTGGCACCACGTTAGTATGACTTCCACAAAGTAGGTCCACATCAGGTTCTCAAGAAAGGCTCAAAGGATGAGTGTAAACAAATGGTCCTTCACCATCTGGGTCCTGGCCACTTTTAGACCCTCTCACACCGTCCCTGCTGCCTGCCACGTGACCGCGCTCCCGGCCCCACCCCGCCATCCTCTTTCACAACTCCCCACCTTGCACACATGCCCTGCTCTGCCTCGAATGCCCTGCCCTTTCCCTTCCATCTTGCCAACTCCTCCTTCTCATGGACTCAGTTCCAATCAACTTCTGCTCCCTTCTCAGGGCAGTCCTGCCGGCTGCCTTCCCAGACTGAGTCACACCCCCACCACTGGGCTTCCCTCCTTAGCAGTGTCTTCTTTCTCCCCCACAGCAGGGCTTGTCACTCTGCACGGTCATTGCCTCTTGGTCAGTCCTTCCTTCAGCAGCTGGCACCACCACCTGGTTCTGGACAAGAGCAAACGCAGGGCCCTGGATTCGAGTCTCTACTTGGTACCGGCTGTGTGGCTTTGGTTTGGTTACCCCATGGCTGGGTACTTCAGTGTCCTCATCTATAAAAGGAGGATGTTCGAGGTCAGGCTGCTAAAAGCATAACCCAAGACAGGGGTGTCTGTTGAAGTTATTTATTAAGGCTGAAAGGAAAGCAGGATGGAGTAAGGGAAGAAGTTAGGCAAAGGTGCGGTTTCAGGAGCGGTCTAGCTTCAGCCTGACCACGGGGAGCTCTGGGATGTGAGTGACAGGTCAACGGGCCTATCCTGCCAAGAGGCAAGGGGGCTGGGCTGCTGTTTCCCGCCCCCTCAACAGACACATCCGCCAGACACTCACTGGCTTTGGGCCACGGCCAGGAAGTGGAGGAGGGGCATTCGGATCAGCCAAGGGCAATCCTTCAAGGCAGGGTGCCGTGTGAGCAGCCTACGCCCACAATGGATGGGGAATGGGGTGGGGGCCAGGCCCGTGAGAGGCTGTCCAGTAGACCGGAGACCCGGACACCAGCAGGGTCAGCCTTGCAGGTAATAACGGTTACCCGGCAAGGGCATTGGGAGGTGAAGCAGGCAAAACCCCAGGCACACATCTGGCGCATTAGCCATTATTACCGGTGGTGTTCCCTCCGCAGCCCCAGCCCAGCACGGGGTAGAAGGAAGAGACAGAGGGAGGGAGGAGAGGATACGGTTGGAGTCACAGACCTCTGGCTGAGTCTTCCTTCTTCCTGCTTGGATTGAGAGGGAGGCCCCTCGAGGCTGGGGCTTGGCAGTCACAGGTGCTGGCTGCACCTCGAAGCCTCACTGGTTGGGCTGTTTCCTCATCTCTACAAGGGGGGCATCACCGGCCATCCCTGTTCCCAGGGCTGTCTGGGAGGGTGAAGCCAAGCACCAGGGCCCGTGGGTGGCTGGAAGCCCTGTCCTCCGGCTGGTTCTGGCAGACCTGGGGTTCTGCCCCGGCTCCGGGACCCCGGTGGGAGGAAAGACAGAAGAGGGCGACGGAGGTCAGACAGTGGGAAGAGAGGACCAGAAATAAGAAGGCTAGAACCGTAACCTCAAGATCAGGAAGGATGTGGTTGGTGGGGACCATAATAAGAGCATGGCTCGGGCCATGACAGCCGCTCAAGACATGTAGACCAAAACATCGGAAGGAGAGCAGGCCAAGTGCCACTGAAGTTGGCTTCTCAGGACCGAATGGACAGCTCAGGCCTGGGGACCCCGGGGTGGACTAGATTCCACAGAGGCCTTCAAGCCCTCTCACACCAAGTCCTACAGGGCTGACGACAGAAAACTCAGGGCCTCTGCATCCCCCAAGGGCAGATGATCATAGTCCAAGGCTTTGGAGGACACCTGAGCCCAGAAGCAAAGGCGAACCTAGCTGGAAGAATCCATGCCAGCTCCCACTCCCCCACTCCCCAGCCTTTTTTTCCCTTCGGCCATACTGCGGCTATATGGGATCTTAGTTCCCTGACCAGGGATCAAACCCCATGCCCCTTGCAGTGGCAGTGTGCGGTCCTAACCACCAGGCGGCCATGGATGCTCCCAGGCCCATTTTACAGCTGGGGAAACTGAAGTCCCGAGAGGGGAAGGCCTTACTGACACTCATAGGAAGTAAGAAGTGGGACCAGACTGAGCCATCAGGCATTTTCTAGGGGGGGCTAATGCAGCCCCATCCCAGGAATCATCCTCTTTTCATGGGTCCCCACGACGGGGTACCTTCAGGGAGATGTGAGCAGCTATTTCTTCCCTCATCCATAAAAGCCGGCAGAGAGGGCAAGAGGGATCCTTGATCCGGCACCTTTCCGTGGGGCGGGAGGGGGAGGGTGTGTGATGGGGATGATTTCTTTTGAAAACCATCATCTTTATCATCCCTCACAATGACAGGGTCCTGCAGGACTTAACATGCACCCGTTTGGTCTACCAAAGCAGAAACCGAGCCCCAAGACTTCCCTAGTGGTCCAGTGGCCAAGACTCCCTGCTCCCAACGCAGGGGGCCCGGGTTTGATACCTGGTCAGGGAACTGGATCCCTCATGCCACAACTAACAGCCCACATGCCGCAACAAAGATCAAAGGTCCCGAGTGCCGCAACTAAGACCTGACTCAGCCAAATTAACTAATTAATTAAAAAAAAACCAAGGCTCCCAGCAGTGAGGGATCCTCCCCACATCACCAGCTAGAAAGATACAGAGCTGGGAGTTGAGGAAGCATCTTGTCTCAAAGTCTTTGAGGAGGGTGGCATGAGCCTGCACTCTTGAGCCCTGGGCCTGGATGGTCCGTTTTAAATCCAACAGGGCCTCTCTCTCCTTGTCACTGGAAACCAGGAATCTGGCTCCCAGCCCCCATCACTAGAACTGAAACCGCCTGCTTCATTCCGGCCAACTTCCTGCTCAGAGGGCTCAGACTCTCCACCAAAAGACCCCCTGGGGTTTCCGGGCACACCCTTCTCTGAAATGTGGACAGCAGGTGGCCGGGGAGGGGCCTTGCCTTTCCCGCTCAGCCCTGGTGGTTTGGGTCCAGCACCCACCAGAAGTGGCTGGTGAGAAGGCTCCTGCCCAACAGGGTCCTGGGCCTCCGGAGGGCCAGTGGGTCCCAAACCTGCCTGCATGTTAGAGTCTTCTGGGGTTTTAAAAATTCCAATGGGCCGCACCCCAGATCAAGCGCAGCATAGTCTCCGAGGGTGGGACACAGGCACTTTTGGAAGCAGCCCAGCTGAGCTTGGGAACTACTCTTGTAGGCCACGCTGCCACCCAGCGCTCCACTCCGGGTGGGCAGAGTGACTTCGTGTTCTCTTGTATCCAGCACCTTGCTTCCCGAGCAGAGACAAGGCTTCTTGCCTTCGAGAGGCTGGGGATAGGAAGGCCACCGAGATGGCCGCATTTAGATGGGACCCTGAGGGTGCCTGCTGAAAAATGATGCTCCTCCTGCACTTCCATCTCTGGCCTGCTCCTTGGCATCTTGTGGCCCTGCCAACTCCTCCCACATCCACACCAAACCGAAAATGAAGCTGAGGCCTGGAAATCCCCCTTTTGTCTCCAACCATGTGGTTGAAGAGGATCCCAGAGGAATCATGTGCTGGTTTGGGAGTTCAGGGGGGCAAAGAAGGCTCAAGATGTAAAGGGGAGAAATTAGATCCTGAGGTTCAAAATTCACAGCCTGGAGATTGCTCTGCCCACTTCCAAAGGCAAATTGGAGGTGATTTCTAAAACTTAAAGTGTGTCTACCCTTTGACTCTACAACAAAGCTGCCTGGCAGAAAGCCCAGCGAAAGCCACACAGCCTGGTATATGCGGAGCATACTGGATAAGGAAATCCTGCAGCCATGTTTGACCAACTCATGTCTCAATAAAGTTTGGTGTGACCACACCTCTGGGTTATGGGCATGAAGATCACTGACATGGCTGGATCCTTATATGTATTAACTGAATAAACAAGACACACAAATAATGATATGCATAATATGATACCATTTGTTTGAAGAATACATAGAAAACAAAGCACCAACACTATTTCTTCATCCAGGTCTATAATCCCATGTTTTCATAATTTAGAGGTTAAGAGCATGAATTTTGGAGCCAACTGTCTAGGTTGGAACTAAACATTTCACCAT